GCGCATCCAGCTGGAGCTGAACCAGATCAAGGCTGAGATGGACAGGAAGCTGGCAGAGAAGGACGAGGAGTTTGAGAACCTGAGGTGTGTGGGGTGAGGGGACAGGCTGGGACGTTGCTGCGGGGCAGAGCTGGCACCGTGGCACCCTGGGTGTCCCCAGGGCACGGGGCCGATGCGTGACCTCTCCTGCAGGCGCAACCACCAGCGCGCCATGGATTCCATGCAGGCCTCGCTCGACGCAGAGGCCCGGGCCAAGAACGAGGCCGTGCGGCTGAGGAAGAAGATGGAGGGGGACCTGAACGAGATGGAGATCCAGCTGAACCACGCCAACCGCCAGGCCGCCGAGTTCCAGAAGCTGGGCCGCCAGCTCCAGGCCCAGATCAAGGTCGGGGCAGGCTGGTGCTGTCCCTGCTGCCAGCCCAGCTCCGTGCTGTCCCCGCTGACCCCACGCCGCCCCACAGGACCTGCAGATTGAGCTGGATGACACCCAGCGCCACAACGACGACCTGAAGGAGCAGGTGGGTGCCCTGGAGCGCCGCAACAACCTGCTGCTGGCAGAGGTGGAGGAGCTGCGGGCAGCGCTGGAGCAGGCGGAGAGGAGCAGGAAGCTGGCAGAGCAGGAGCTGCTGGAGACCACCGAGAGGGTCACCCTGCTCCACTCGCAGGTGAGGCACTGCCAAGTCCTGTGTCTGCACTGGTGGGAGAGCAGGAGTCTGTCCAGCAGTGGTGGATGACCAGCCCTGGTCACACTGAACCTGCTCTGTGTGCAGAACACGGGTCTGATCAACCAAAAGAAGAAGCTGGAGGCAGACATCTCCCAGCTGAGCAACGAGGTGGAGGATGCGGTGCAGGAGTGCCGCAACGCCGAGGAGAAGGCAAAGAAAGCCATCACGGATGTAAGAGAGTGGTGGGGATTGTGCTGCATGGTTGGGAAGGGTCTCACAACATCTCCACTGAGCCCCTGCTCTGGTAGGGCTGCCTGGCCTTGAGGTGATGTCCCCCTGCTCTTGGCCTTGCAGGCTGCCATGATGGCAGAGGAGCTGAAGAAGGAGCAGGACACGAGCGCACACCTGGAGCGCATGAAGAAGAACATGGAGCAGACCATCAAGGACCTGCAGATGCGCCTGGACGAGGCAGAGCAGATTGCCCTCAAGGGGGGGAAGAAGCAGATCCAGAAGCTGGAGGCCAGGGTGAGAAAGTAGGGGCAGATCCCTGGTTGTGTTCTTCAGGAGCCACCTCCGGGGGCTGCCCCAGTCCCTGTGGCACCAGACTCTGCCCCATCCCTCTGAGGACAGGTGGTGCCTCTGTGGGACCAGGGGACAGTCCCCAAGGCCCTGCCAGCCTGGGCCCTGCTCAGGATGGTTTGTTTTAGTCTCTGCTGTGTTGGCTTTAGCTGGGCTGGCGCTTGGGAGCCAAGTGCAGAGCCAGGCTGTGCCCCCTGCAGGTGCGGGAGCTGGAGGGAGAGCTGGATGCGGAGCAGAAGAAGATGGCAGAGGCCCAGAAGGGCATTCGCAAGTACGAGCGCAGGATCAAGGAGCTGAGCTATCAGGTACAGCAGCTCTGGACACAGGTCCAGCCCCCGTCCAGCAATTCTCTGCTTGGCCTCATGTTACCCCAGAACCCATCCACCAAGCCCAGCCCAGCCTGGACTGCTTCTGGGCTCTGTGTGGGGAATGACAGCAGCTGCACAAGCTTCTCCCTGTCACAACATCCTCTCCCTTCTCTGGGTCCTTCTGCCCATTTCCCAGCACCTCCTGAGCTCGGCGGTGGGACACAAGGGGAGGACCAAGGGACGGGTGCTGTGACACAGCGCTGGGTTGGTGGGGCAGGTTGGTGCTGTTTGTGACCTGGCACCTCTGCTAAAGGTGGAGGTGAGGGGCTGCTGGGGTCTGGCTAAGGGAGCCGGGGCACTTGCAGGCTGAGGAAGACCGGAAGAACCTGGCTCGGATGCAGGAGCTGATTGACAAGCTGCAGAGCAAGGTCAAGAGCTACAAGCGCCAGTTTGAGGAGGCAGTAAGTGCCCATCACTGCTCGGGGACAGGGGACAGGGCTGTCCCTCCCTGGGTCTGCCTGCCACGGCTGCCAGGGGCCACGAGAGCCATGTGGGGAGCTCGGAGCCTGCTGTCCCCTGTGCCTCCTGCACCCACCCCTCCCCTCTCCCTGCCCAGGAGCAGCAGGCCAACTCCAACCTGGTGAAGTACCGCAAGGTGCAGCACGAGCTGGACGACGCCGAGGAACGCGCCGACATCGCCGAGAGCCAGGTCAACAAACTGCGCGCCCGCACCAGGGACGTCGTCATCTCCAAGGTGGGCACTCCTGGATGGGGGCGTGGGGAGGTGGGCAGGGGCTCCTGCCAGCCCTGGAGCCAGGGGAGTGACCACAGCCACAGTCCCATGCTGCTGTGGCACTGCTCCCTGCCGCCAGATCCCCCCTCTCAACAAAGCCCTTTGGGGGTTTTTTCCAGCATTAGGAGCCCGGCTGCCCTGCCCAGTCCCAGCTGCTGCTGCAGGTTGGAGGCAAGTGGCTGCAACAGTCACTGTCAGCTTTGCACTGCATGAATAAACGTGGATCTGCCAGGACTGGCTGTTGTGTGTCACGGTAACCGGGGTCTTGGGGAGCACTTTCCACAGGGATGCACAGGCAGGAGAGAAACCCAGTCCTCCCTCTCCCAGTTCCATGGCCCTGGCTTGGGACTTTCCTCATAGCTCCCCACCAAAAACACATCTGCAGGGGACCAGAGCTGAGGCATGAGGCAGGACAGACCTCAGCCACCACTCCTGAGAACATAAAACCCCCTAATACAGCCCTAGAGGGGGTTATGGCTTTGGCAAAGGCACTAGAAAGAAAGACATCTCCACTCATTTCTTTAAAATAGATTTCTTTAATAGTTTCCATTTAATATGTTTATTTGCAGTTAGCAAATTGGAATTAATCAGGGCAGCATGAACCTCAGCAATCCATGGGACAGTGCAGACTTCCAGAGGTATTTGTTAGTACCAGGGGTCCCACCTCCCTCCCATCCCAGCCCAGAGCCCACTGCCACTTCCATGGCTCTGGTCCCTGTCACCATGAGACTGAGGCATCTGGCATGGACAGACATCCCAAAGGATTTGCCTGTCACCCTCTGTGCACTGGGGCAGAGCCTTTTCCCTGGAGCCCAGCACGCTCCAGCCCTGAAGGAGCTGCCAGGGGTTTCTTCCCTGTGCCCTTCTCTGCCGACTCAGCCCAACAGCAAAGCCCAGAGTGTGCTCCCAGGCCTGGGAGGAGCCCCAGAGATGGAGTGGGCTCAGTTCAGCTTCCCCCAGGCCCACGGGCAAGGCCAGAGGCAGCTGTGCCCCAAACTGTCTTTAAATCACAGAGGGGAGCAAGACTGCAGGGTTACAGAAGCAATCAGTGGATGCATCAATTAACTACACTGTGGAAAAGGCATCCCTTAACTTAAAAGCCTTTTAATTTGAAGCATTTATTTTAAGTGTACATCTATTACAGTTAAGAAGAAGCAAAGATACACCAAAACCACAAATACCCAAGAACAAAAAAAAGTACAGATGAGAAAGAAATGAGCTGAGGGAAGAGGCAGGGTGGAGGTGACAAGGTGAGGAACAGAGGAGAAGCTGCCATGGCAAGAAGCTCTCCAGGGTAGCCTCACCAGAGCGGGCTGCAGCTCCCAGGGAGGGACACCAGGATCCCCAGGAGATCCTGCAAGGCTCTGGCTTTATGCACAAGCTCAGCAGCTCGAACCACCCCGTGAGACCACAGAGGGACACTGAGGTGTGGGAGAAGAGAAGGGAGAAGGGAGGTGTTCAGAGAAGTCCTGCCCCTGTGCCTGGAGCCTCCTTCACTCCTCCAGCCCCAGCACAGTGAGCCTTAGGGTGGGTCTCATGCTGTTTGCAACGAGACAGAAGGCTGCAGCTCTGGGACATCCTCACCCCTTCAGAACCTGGACAGAGCTGAAGTCACTTTGTCTAATAAATTAGAAAATGTTAAAAAAATTCAGATGCATGTTTCAAAACTGGTTTCTTTTAGCTGTAGCTGCAAGACAGGTTTCTGAGTTAAATACAGTGGCTTAAGTGTAGTGTATCTCATTCCTGGGTATCTGAATGTGTTGGAGCAACATGGTGTTGGTGAGCAGGCAGGGCAGGTGCAGGTTTGGCAATCAAGACTGCCAAAACCCCATTCCCCCTTTCCCAACATATCCTACAAAGTTACTTTCAACCAGGAGTGTTTATTCCCAGCATTTAACACATTCTGATTAAAACAGATCCAGGAAAAAAAACGGACATCTCCAGTAAATATTGCACTTTCAAGATTAATGTGTGTGTTGATATTAAGGACTGAAAGCAGAGACTGACATAACATAGCAGGTTAACATCAAGAGCAATGGTCCTGAAAAGGATTTTAAAACCAGATTAGTTACCCAAGAAGGGACAAGCCGCCAAGTTTAAAAAATTAGTACATTTTAATGCTAGTGCTCCTTGAAAAAGCCACCCCCTGTTGCAATTCCACCACCACTGCAATGTCTCTGTTCTCCAGCACTGCTGAACGCCTCCGGATGGGAAGGATCTGCAGGAAGGACAGCAGGAGCAGAGGTTCTCTCCTAATGCACAGACAGGAGAGAAATGATCCAAAAGGATCAAATGATCCAAAAGGCGATGGTAAAGAGGTGACTGGAGCTGGGGCTCTCAGGAATTAAAAGCACACACGCACACACACTCATGCTCTAACCAGCCCCAAAGCCCTGATTCCAAAGCCCAGCGGAAGAGTTACACCTGCAGGAGTCCTCGTGGTGCCTTTGCACGTGGCTGGTGCTGGGGTCCCGCTCAGATGGGCTCCTTGGACCTCACACTTGGAGGGCAATTGCTGTGCTTTTCCACTTGCTCGTCCTGGCAGCCCTGAGAGAGCCACATCTCAACCAGCACATACAGAGAACCCTCAAGTCAGCAAAACCCCTTCTGCCAGCCCCGCCGGACTGGGAGAGAGGAAAAAAATGATACAGGCTGGTTTGTGCAGGTGATAATTTTTATCCCAGAACAACTGGAAGATACATCCCTGAATGTGTTGCCCAGAGAGCTGTCTGAGTGTCGGAGGTCAGAGCTGGGGGCCGGCAGGGGCGGGGGTGGGACGACGCTCCGCAGCTCCGAGCTGCGCACACACACACACACTACACAGCGTATCCCTGAAAATCCCCGGGCTGCCAGGGACCCTCCGAGCTGTCCGTCAGAGGCTGGAGCGGGGAATTACTCCTCGGAAAAGTCTCTGTCAATGTCCATGTACGCCTCGTCGATGTAGCTGACTATGGCACAGGGGGACGTCCGGTCCGGACTGAGCAGTATCGAAACAGTCTCTTTCCAGTAGGTAAAACTAATACAGGAGCTCTGTGGGCACAGACAACAGCGGGGTCAGCGGAAGCCACAGCAGGAAACACCTCCCAAAGCTGAAAATCACTTCCTCTTCAGCCTGAGCTGCCCAGCCCCATAATCCCACTCTGGATTCCCCATTGTGCCCTCTGTGGATTCCCTGGGGCCCAGCAGGGCGCTGAACAGGGCTGGGTGTTGAACAGCTCCACCCTGTACAACCAGCTGCCCACTGTGGATTCAGTCAAGGACTCCCAGTGCCTCTGGCAGCTGCTAAGAGCAGCCTGGGCTGACCCCAGCCCACCTGGGCCAGTGCACCCATAATCCCAAACTTCTCCTTTGCCGTGCACTCCAAACACAAACCGGGACCCTGTGGTGCCACAGATAAGCTGATGGTGGAAGTAACTCCCACTCCTGAGATGACACAAAAACCAACACCCCCCCCTGCATTATTCCCTCAAAGCCCAAGGGCCAACCCAGCAGCCCAACACCAGACCATGTGCCACCCACATAACTGGATAATTGGTTCTTTTTACCCACCAGTGACCCAGGACAAACCAGCTCTGGCACAGAAACCTGCAGGCTGTGCTTCCTTGGCTTCCAGCAGCTACATCAGATATTTTTCCTGCACTGTTTGCCACTCCAGGAAGAGGGAGCAATCTGACCAAGGTGCTAACTAGTCTGGGAACCGGATTCTGTCCTGCCTCCCCCTCCCAGGCCATCCTGCCAGCCCTGCCTCTCCACCCCTCTCATCAGAACCGACAAGCCTCAGTTCGGTGTGCCAGAGTCAAGACCTCAGGCTCTGTTTACAGGGGAGCCCAGCACCTGCCTTGTGGCAGCCTGACTCTGAGGTGTGAAAAGCACCACAGGAATGACACTGGGGGCAGAAATTCCTCCCTTCTTTCCCTTCCCAACCTCCCATTTTTGCCAGGAGACTGGCAGACAGGTGTTGCTGTGATTGACTCCTGCCATGCTAAGAGGGACACATACATTTTCTAAGCAGGTGCTGTCTTTATCCTTGTTGAGGTAATGCTGCTGCCAGAATCGCAGGAGACTGTGGAAGTTGTTCAGGATGAATCCAGGGTATTTTTCTGTGTATTCCATCTGTTGCAAGGTGCGCAGATAAAAAGGGAGCTTTTCTTTCCTTCGGGCCAGCATTAGGATAACTAAACTTGTGTTCAAACAACTGACATTTTCCTGGAAGTAAAAGTGACACAGCAAAAAAATCTAAATAGCAAGATACCTGTTGTATACACACCCCTATTAAACAAGCCAGTGGAAAGCACGGAGTGGAGGTGCTCCTGCACACAGCAAGGAAAAAGGGACCAGGAAAACCAGGCTCCTCCCTGCTCCCAGCCCTGCTCACCACTCCAGCCCCAGTAAAGCAACTGCAAGGTCCCTGCCAGCTCTTTACCTGTGTGAGTGTCTGTACATGGATAATGTTAATGAGACGGAAGAGGAAGGACATTCTCATGGACATCTGGGACATGTAGGACAACAGGCGGCACTCGGACAGGACTTCTGCAACTGCAGCAAGAGCAGAAACACAATCACCACGTGCTGGAGGTTCAGACAGGCTGATCCAAGCACCAGGGCAGTAAGAACTGGTGCTCAAACTTTCAGAGTGCCATTTCCTTGTCTAGCCCCCAAAGTGTCAAAGCCCAAGTTTAAATTAACCATTATCACCAGTGAATACCCTCCAGTCCCACCCCATTGCTTCCTGTTCACCTTTAGCATCAGACTGATTTTCAAACCGGTCCAGGGACAGCGTGATGCAGCGAACCAGCATGTTGGAGTCCACCAGAGAGCTGTTGATCTGATTTAAAAATATCTGGAACTGAACAGAAACACTTTTTAGTGCTGAACTGAAAAGATTTCAATGTATTTATACTCGGGGTCATCACCTTTTTGTTATCTCTAACAAGCTAAGAGGAGACATCACTCCCAAGCCCTGCCTCACCCAGCCCAAGCCAACACTGGCACTGAGGATCCCAAAGCATCCCTTAAAAACACTCTGGAATGGAAAAATGCCATCCTGGCATCCCTAAAATCTCTTTTGAAGCTATGTCACTGCAATGAAAGTGAGATTCCTTCACTAGGAAGAAATATGGTGAAGGAGTCACACAGAATGAGAACTAAACCCTGTTAGAGATCAATAAACAGGAAGCACACAGGAAATATAAAGACATTCTCTAGAATGTTTGAGTTAATTTACTAGAGGAAAATAACCCAAAAATAAATAGTTTTCTTTTAAAGATCTTTTAAAGCTACATCCCTTCTCCAAGGTCTACCAGACCTAACAGCAATGAGGGAAAAATTACAGTAACAAAAGCAAGAGCAAAAGGCCATTCAGAACCCACCCACTTGGATATATAAAATCAGCTGATTTTATATGTCCTAAGTGCACAAGAGCATGAATCCACTTTGCATAGAGCTGTCCACTGATGTGCAGCTCAATTTTATAGTTAGGTACATAAGCCACAGCTTCTTAAAATGTCTCTAAGTTCAAATAACATCAAACATCTACATCTGTTTGCTGTAAAAATACCAAGTATTTTAAGCCTTGTTCATAAAGGATTCCCACTGCAGGCTCCAGTAAATGATTTTTTGGAGCTGTCTCAAAGTCCACAACTATCCCTTAACCACAACTCTGGCAACTTCACAGGAAATGTTCTGCTACCCTTGAGCCTGACCTTAGACCTGCCTGATCATGGAACAGGGTAGTGTTTGCTGAGCAGCTCAGCACTCACTGACTCAGGACAGCTGGAGCACTGCTGAAAACACTGAGGGACTTTGGCAATTCATCCCTTAATGTTTATTGTGCCCCACGCTCTAAAACCACACCAAACCCAAATGAATCCAAGTTTTAGTGCTATGGAGTAACTTGAGCCAAAGGGGGCAGCTTTTACAAATATTTACCTTTTCATCTGTGTTGATGTACTTGTTGAATCTCTTGAATGCATCAATATTAAATTTCATCAGCTCTCCCAGAAGGTCAAAGTAACTCTGAAGCACATCCCGTGACTTGCACTCACTATCAACAATGCAGTAGAGAATATGCTGGCAGGGGAGGAAAACATGTTATTGCCACAGCTCAGTCCAAGGCAGCAGCACAACACAGACTGATTTCATCAGTATTTAAAGCTTTTATCTTCAAGTTCTTGGGTGACTGAATGTCACAACACCAAACTAAAGACAACAATTCAGATGTTAAAATAACTACCCAGTGATGCAGGTTATACAAATGGCCACATTTGGCTGCCACAAGCAGAATTCACAGGTAGTTTTTAGAAGTGTTCCCAGTATTTGTCATAGTCACACAGGAATAAGGGGCAGTTTTTAATTTATTATTATTATTGTTGTATCTACTGTGATTTCTCCAGTAAATTGTGATCCTGACTTATCCCCCTGAGTTTTTATTCCCCCACTATTGCAAGGGGGGCAGCTTGAGTAGCCTTCACTTCACCGCTGGGTTTTAAACCCAGCAGAATATTTAACATTATGTTTTTATCCACTTTTGGTTCACTGCAGATAAATCCTTCTTGATTGCTATGGAGGATGCCTGACATAAACTTATTTACCTCCAGGAGTCCTCTCTTGAGGAGGAACATCTGATCTGCATAGGAGGTGGTGCCTCGCAGAAAACTTTCAACTGCCCTTGCTTGCCAAAACCTGAGAAAGAGAAGAAAGGTGTTAATTCTGGGGAAAGGGAAGTACTTGATCACAACTGTAATTTAAATCCAGGTTCCTGATCTGTTTCATTCCACTCTGAAGCTGGAGTCAGACCTGTTGATCCTGCAGAAAAACATTGGCTGTGATTTCTTCACTCCTCACTGCCACCACAGCACTACAAAGCCAGACCCTTCCACAGCTTATTCTCCAACATTCTCAGCTGCTCTAAGCTGGGTGAAACCAAAGCTACATCCCAGGGGTCTCAAACAGCCCAGCAGAGGCAAAGTGAACCCACCTGAAGGAGGATTCTGCTGGTTCCTTCTTCATGACCTGAAGCAGTCTGGTCAACAAACCTCTCTTCCCATCACAGACAAGGCTCCTGCAGCAGGTAGAGAAATGACAACTGAGTGGAAGGGCTGGGCAATCACTGAGCACTCAATCCAGTCACTGCTCCAGAGCTTTTGATGATCAAAATCTCAATATTGAAGTACACAGTACAAATATTATGCTGGTTCTACCAGAAGAGTTCTCCTCACTGCCTTTGGTAAATGTCTGCAATACCTGCAACACGACTTCCTCTTAAGTCCAAAACAAAAACTTTCAGAATTTTAATGATTTCAGAAATACCTTGTGTGAATCAAGTGACAAGAAAAAAATACTACATTTGAGCTTAGGAATGAAAGAAACCCCTTTTTTTCCCCCTCAAAAATGTAAAGGAAAGTCTGAATTCCACTTAGGAGGCAGAGCAGAGTATGGAAAGCTGGATGCTACATGAGGTTGTAGTAAAAGCATAGAGGCTGTACAACTGCAATACTACTTGTATTAAACAGCACCTTCAGTGGAGTATCAGCCTGCATTACACTCATACAGAAGTAATGCCTTGATCTCACATCATATCACAAAAAGCAACATAAAAACTAAATGCTAAGGGTGAAAAAACCCCCAAGTTCTTCCCAATCAGACACAGTATTATGATAATAACTGTAATCTAGAAATCCTCTTAGAGATTCCCTTTTGGAGTGAGGTAAATCTGCTCTGTGCAGACCAAGTCCCTGCTGATTCCCTGTATTTTGACAAACTAAGTTGTGCAAACAGCTTTCCATCTGCTGAGGTTTATACACCAGAACAGTGTACAGCAGAATTAAAGAGATTATTAGATCAAAACAGTCCATCCAACAGATACTCAAATGTAACAAAAGAGATTCTGTAAGTGGTTTAACATGTTAATCTAATTTAGCTTATTCTGGTTATTATCTGCTCTTAAAATACCCTGAGCAGACACTTGGATGTGTTCATGCAGCCTGGAAATGCACATTTATGTGTGCACACACTGCTCCTGAATGCCAGAATTAAGATTTATCAGCAGGAGCAATTAGTGATTTGAGGGATCGCATTTTACTTTCCAGGTCAGTCTGCAATGCTGACCCGAGGAAGGCCAGCCAGGCAAACGCAGCACATCATAGTGAAACCTGAGCATGAACTCAAACCCCTCTTTTTAAGGGTTTTAAAGCACTTTATTCTGAGCATGAGCACACCTGAGATTTGCTAATGACCATCAGCATCCCACAAACCTGGACACCTCCCACTGAAATGAAAGTGTGGTGGACAGACAGAGGTAAAACAAAGCAGCAGATGTCAAACTTCCAGTCTAAGTCCTTCCAAAACTCTGAAAGTGCCAACCTACACCCTCAGTCCCCTCTCACCTGTCAGTGTTGACAACTGCATCCACTTCAGGGATGTTGGCTTTATGGGAGATTGCACTCAGCTCATTCAGCTCCTGGCTGTTCAAAAGGAGATACTTGTTCCTAAAGCAAGAGAGTGGGGGAGGAGGGGAGAGAATCAGGATGAATACAAGAGGCAAAAATGCAATTCCATGAAAAGCAGAGCCACAGGCCCACAAGGGCTGCAGGACTGGGCAAGCTGCTCTCTCCTGGCTGCTCTTCACAGCATTCCTCCTCTGCTCCCTGTAGCAGCCAGCTGCAGCTTGGGAAAACCCCTTCCAAAATTTACCAAATGCCACTTCCAACACTGACCAGCCTTGAGATGATGGTTCTTTGCTGACTTGCTTGGAACATTATGGTTTGTAAATATTTTCTTCTGGATAATGCTCATTTTAAAAAAAAAATCTCAGCAAGGTTTTGCTGAATTTCAGACCAAAATAAATATTAAATAGCAAACTTTTTCACAGCTTCCTGAAGTTTTTATCTACCCTATAGTGACTGCTCTTTTTAAGTAATAAAATTTCTTTCTAAGCAAGAAAGTAGAAACTGCAAAAAAAGGACTCAGTCATCCTGGCATTTTATTATCTGAACACACTTTGCCCTGGAAATACTTAAAAACATCATAAAATGTAAAGATCCAAATAAAAACAGATATAAATGCCAGAGATGCACATGAATTTTTTATCAAATACTGAATTTTTCATAATGAAAATAAATTGCTTTGTCTGTAAAGTGAACTAAATGCAGACTAAATCTGACAAGAGTATAAATGTAGTCCAGGGGCTCCCTTTGCCCAATGGCAGTGTGCTCCCTGAGAGTCTTTCTGCTTCCAAATGTTCAAAATCAGACAGCAAAGATTCATTTTCAGGAAAGCTCAGGGAGCAGAGGATGCAGTGATGAGTGTGAGGTTCCTTCTTGCTTCCAACACTGTCATCAACTCACTGAGGCTCTTGTGTAAAGCTCCCTTTGATGTGGATTGAACAGGTTTCTGCAATGAGAACAGAGCCCTCCTCCCCCTGCAATGAACAGTTCTGCAAGTCTGGTTTGGACACAATTTCACTGAATTAATATCAGCATACAAGTACTTTGCCCTCATCTTGTCCTCAGTTAACTCAGCTTATCTGTGATTTCACAGAAAGTTCATGTAATTATTTAAACCCCCCAAACAGATTCCACACATTCCACTTGCTCAAATGTTACAGCTGGGAGCTGTTTTCTGCTCAAACAAGCCTGAGATCTTTGTAGCAGCCATTTAAGTAGTAACATCACCTGCAGAGATTTTATTGGAAAACCTGGAATGATTCCCAGCCAAACAATGTCTTGCATGAAGGATTTACAACAGGTCAGCACTCCCTCCCTGTCTATGTCCAGCAGCTCCCCATTCTTTCTCAAAGTTAATATTCCATAATCAAAAAGGCTGATATTTCAAAACTATCCAACAGAACTAAAATCCTGCAGAAAAATAACAGCTTGGCTCTAGGAATGAGCAGCACCTGAAGTGCAACATGTCTCTAACACAGGAGTTTGTAAGGAGGTGGAAAGCATCTCCTAGGACTGAATGAGAGCAACAGAACACTGATGGAATGCAGGATGCAATTCCACAAGTGACAAACACCTCTGCACCAGCAGCACAGCATTAAATAGCACCAAGCAAACTGTACCCACCCTCCAACTATTCCAGCAGACCCAAGTTTTCCTAAAGCATGCCTTTAGAAGGCAGACAGGAGATTTCTTCCTGTTTCCCTGGCTCACTGTAAGCTCTCAGTAGATGGCCAAAAAGAAGGAAGTTGCCTCCTTATTCCTTCAGCCAGAAAGTGTTAACTCATCCTGTACATGTTTCAGCTCATCTCAACATGACACAAAATGGGCTGGGTTTAAGTGCACCAGACATATTCAGACATGCCCACCACAGAGCAAATTCTTAGGCTGTTTCAGCAAGAGCTGAAAGGAACATGATGTTTAGGGACAGTACAATATTCCCTTCACATGGAGCCTGCTCCATGCCCAGGACACCTGGAACCACAACAGCACCAAGCCACAACCCACCACAGCTTCTCATACTCACTCATGGTGGTCACTGAAGCTCTGAAGAAGCCTCAAGAATTGTATCTTTAAAGTAATATCCTAAAAGGAGACAAGAAAGGTAAAAAAAACATTATTGCTTTAGTATTTTGGGCTATCATTAGTTACCAAGCTGGCATGAAACAGCTGAATGGAAAACCTTTCCAAATCAAACCCCTTTGGACAGCAGAGCACGTGACTTGCATAAATGGAGAGGCTGCACTTCCCAAAACAGAAGTGAAGACTGCCTCCAAGCCTATGCACACAACAGGTAATAATTCCTTCTCACTACACAGGCAAAAAAGCTTAGAATTGTACTGATCAATTCAGAATGTCCAGGTTTGGAAAGAAAAAAAAATATAAGGAGTCCAACACAAAACCCAACCCCTCTAAACCTGACTGTGGCACAATTTGTACTCTGTGCCTCTCCTAGGTACCATTTATTTGAATTTTGGTTGTCTTCTACCTCTGGCCTCCAGGGTCCAGAAATTTACTGCTTTTTCAATTCCCAAAATGGACATGTTCCTTAAAATCAACAAACTAGAAGAGAAGGGAGAGGATAAATTTGCCCTGCTAAATTGATAGCATGAGCCAAGGATAGACTATAATGCAATAAATAATTCCTCAAAATCTGAATGCTACCACATCTCAAGGCAATGATTATACAAACACCCAGTTACTCAGCACAGCTCCTCAGTATTGTGTGCCAAGATGAAAATCCATGAGAGAATTCCAGAAGTTCCTCACCGGGCTGCAATCACAGTTCTGGTTGTGTCCATGCAGAACAAGGGCTGAGGCTGAGTGCTTCCTCCAGATGAGTTTGTCAAACAGGTTATTGAGGCCAGGAATGAGTCTGAACTCCGCTATCATTTTATGAACCTGGGGAACAAGAGAGGTATAAACACGTCTGCTCCAGCCTCAAACGCTGATTTAATGTAGTCTGGCAAAAGATGGGCACAATGATGCCATTCTATGACAAAAGGATGTCTCAAACAGCAAGTGTTTGTGTTAACCACAGTGCAGCAGTTTCCATTTGGTGGACATGGATAGAAAACAGGCATTTTGGAATAAACCTCTTCAACAGTGCTTCACCATGTCTCTGGAAGCAGCTTTGGGCACCAGGACATCACTTCCAGCATTCCACACTGAAAATGCATCTACAGCAAACAGCTGAGCTGGGATACTCTGCAGCCACTCAATCCCCTGAGTGTCCTTTCCCTCTCCAGACACATGTCTGCAGCTCAGGCAGGCCTCTGATGACAACAAAACCCATCAATATTGGTTTTGTTCACCTGAGCAGGAATCCTGAGCAGAGTCCAGCAGTAACACAAGCACACCACGCTGCTCCTTCAGGTTAAAGGCAAGCTGAACTTCAGAGAAAAAAAAAGCCAAAATTGCTCAGGTTCATTTATCAGTCTGCCTGGTACATTTTTTATTCATACAAAAAAAGCTAATAATTTTGGTGTGAACAGCTGTTTAATACCTTCAGTCCAAGCTGGGATACTTTTGATGTAAGGAATTTAGAAGATAAGGACAAAGGGAAATAGAAAGTGGGATTCGTATCAGCTGTAGGCCTAGGACAAACATTATTCCTTGGGATGTGGTTACAGATGAAAACCACATGACTGGAATGTCCAACATTCTGCAAAAATTATGTGCCCAAGTAATGGACATGTTCCTTAAAATCAACAAATAAAATCACTTAAAAATACCCCAGGTTGTCCCAAGATCCAGAACTGTAACCAGCAGCATTTCAAGCAGATCAATCTACTTTGTTCTATTTACTCAAATACCTGCATGAACCAAAACATCTGAAGCTGATGCTCTTTTACAGGTTTTAGTTCTAGTTTGCAGCAAAGCAATGGATTTTTGCACTCCTCTTGGCTGTAGCCACCAGCTGTCCCATCTTCATGGAAATCACATTCCTGCTGCTGGACAAATACACACCTGAGGAGCATCCAGCTCCTTGCCACCCCACCCATGCTGCCCTGACAGCTGAGCTTGGAGTCCTCTGGTGCTCCATTATTATGAAACACTCCTGGACACCATGGTTTAGTCACAGCAGCTCTGGGGAATCTCTCTGAACAAAGTACTCCCTGTAGTGCTCCTGTCCCTCCATGGCAAAGGCACAACAGAAGGAAGCCAAGCACGTGAGCTGCCTGCAAGGGCCTCAACCCTCACTAAAGGAAGAACTCTACACTCAGTATTAACTCCTGGATCTGCTCCTTTCCAAACAATTCACATTTCAGATCTGTGCAGTTTAGTTTGCTCAGCTCTGAATTCTCACCTGACCAAGTTCCTCAGTCACATCACTGCCTCTGCATCACTCTTTCTCCCAGAGCCCAAACTCATTACAATTACTCTGCCTGAGGATGCCAAGACAATCCCTGCTCTATATTCAACCTTCAAGCTACTTTGGCTTTTTCCTGCTGCTATCCAGCTTCGCAGGAATTGCTCTGTTGCTTTCTCAACTAAAACTGTCTCTGCTAAGCTGAGTTTCTGTGTGTGGCTCCCTACAGCAGGAGCAAAGAAATCAGCTGATGGCTCTTCACTACAACACAGACATGCAGGACAGCCTAGAAAAACACACAAGGAGAGTAATTTAGGGTGTGACCATAATGAGAAGGCCCAGAACTAGAGAGAAACACCACTTATTCCCAAGGGTGAGATCATCCCCAACGTGGCAACAGCAAGAGACAAGTCACTGCTACCACAGTTATCAATTTATGCAAATTAGCCAGCAATCAAGTTTAAACCAAGGATTCAGAGATTCATTTGGGGACAGGTTGACTTTGGGAGGCTGCACCTTGCTTCAAGCAAATGCCAGATCATTATGTCTATTATCACAGCAGACTGAAGCAGGTTTGTGATGCCCTTAATAAAATCCTATGCAAAATCAATCCAATCTGAAACCAGCCAAGTCCTTTGGCTGCTCAGACTGGTGCCACAGATCCTGTGCTTCTATTTCTTCACAGAAAAGAGACCAAAAAGCAGCTGAAATGCTTGTCTGAGGGTGCTATTGCACAGTGCTGTGCCTGCATTCCAGAGCTTCCCATGGAGAACAGCTCAGCTCCAGCCCTGCCTCTGCCTGGCCCTCAGGAAGGGCAGGGGATTCACATCTGACAGACAAGTCTTATGCAGATTAAGGAATGAAGGATGTAGCATGTGTTTTAAAGGAAGAGGATTCAAATCTTTCAAGAATTCAACTCCAGTCCTGAATCAGTCCTGGGAAGAAGTGAACTGGAGCCTTTATCCTTGGCTTCCCCATCTGCAGAAATAGCAGATGAAGGATAAGAGTTGTATTCCCAGGAAATTAAAACATAAATTCATCTTCAAAGCTAGCTGCTTCAGCAACACATTTTTTTTTGCCTTGTCACATTTGACAGGAACACACCAGAAGTGACCCAGGGAAGGAAGGAATCCAGTACCTTCAGCTCCCTCCAGCAGCAGCAGGATGAGTGCAAGCAGTTTCTGTAGTATCTATAAACCTGCACTCTTGTGGAGAACTCAAGCAGGGATGAATTATCTGTCTTGATACAACGGAAAAAAAAGTCCTCCTAATAGATCCATGTTTGGTACTTTCAGTTATGTTTTGGGCATTTTATTATTATTTATTTATTATTTTAAAGCATTTTATTTCATGCCTAAAAGAAACAGCACTTCTAAAAGGAATGACAACGTGATTAGGAGTTGTTTATGGTAGTGACTGTTGTTTCTGCAAGAATTACTGGTGCCATCTGCTTCCTCTTATGCAGAACCTGCTTCTTTTAATGCCAAGTGTCTGCTCAGAATCTCAACACCCCAAGATGCTTTGAGATGGAAGGGATGTTAAAGCCCATCTCACTGCCCTGCCATGGGCAGGGACACCTTCCAGCAGACCTGGCTGCTCCAAGTCCCAGCCTTGAACACTTGCAGGGATGGAAGTCCACAAGCTCTGCTGTAGGTTCAGAGGAAACAGCTCAGTTATGTTTGGGACTGAGCTACAACTGCACCTGTATTCAGATTTAGAGATTATGGGGATTGCCCTGGGGAGTGTTTGTGACTGACGCCCTGGAGGTTACTACCAGAAAACAAATTACTCCAGATAAATGTGCTCCTACCCACAACACAGCCTCTCCTGCCTAATACAACAGCCTCTCAATAACTCACAGCAGTCTGGCCCTCCCAGTGTCCAGGACATCTGAATGGCCCTGCTATCCCAAGTTCTGCTGAGCTGAGCAGACTGCCAAAGCTGGAAACCTTTCAAAACTGCACCGAGGATTGCTTTGCCTTTCTCTTCACAACCTGCTTTTGACCCATTTAAATCAAACCACAGCCAAGCTGCAGTGACTGGCTCTTCATAAGCCTGTGTAAGGCAGGAAAAAAAATTCTATTTTTTTTTTTTCCTTTTCAAAAGGAAAAAAGGCAAAGGAGCAGGTGATTGGAATTTCCAGGTAGTGACCAGTGCAGACAGCACTGAAGTGCATCTCCCCAGCTGGGAGTTTAACAGCATACTCACACTTTGCCAAGACATGGCAATATGCTGCACAAATCACCCAGGGCGTTTCCAAAAGTGAAAGAAGCCAAAGAAGGGTAAGGCCTGAAGAGGGGGCTCCATCCAACCTGGCCACCAAAAGAGGGGAGTACACCTGACTGCAGCTCCTGCAGCATCCAGGATCCTCACACAGGAGGCATCCTCCTGCACCAGGGCAGAGCTCTGCAGAGCAGTGTGCTGCTCCCAGGGAAACGCTGCCTGTTTTCTGGACAGGGCTGCCAGGATGGGACTGCCCAGCTCTGCACCTTGAGCTTTGCACGGCTGTTTCTGTGTCCATGCCCTCACTCATGAGCACTCAGGTTTAAAGAGACACCAGCTGTGAGTGTGAGCATCCACTGGGGCTCACCTGGTTCCTCTGCCTGCCCATGAGCAGCACACAGAGAACATACAGCACCTCCAGCTTGTACATGATCTCGTGCATGATCTTCATGGACTGGGGCAGCTGTGTCCTTGTGGAGGTGTTGGCCAGTCCACTCTCATCTGAAGACTCTGAAAAAGATGGCAAAGATGTGAGACTGAGGCAGCTTCAGTAAGAAAGGATTTGTTACAGTTGATGTTTTTACACTGAACACTGCAGATGAAGGAGCAGCACATCTGCTGGAATTTTCTTCTTAACTAAAAACAGTGATGTACAGCAAATAACCAATCTGAATTACATGCTAGAGAAAAAAATACAGCTGAAAATTTAGAGGAGATAAAATCAGATTTTTAAAATTATTTTTCTCTAACAAACTAAATGGCAGCAGCTCTCCTAAAATAAGTAGGCTCACCTAAATGAATTAGTAGACTACTGCATCAGGGCATAGCAGAAAGGCAATAAAAGTAGATGGGAGATTATCAGAAGCACTTACTATTAAATCTACTTTCATTTCATACCTCAGTAGCAGTATTCTTAGGCCACAGTTAAATAAATTTCAGAACCTTAGAGAGAATTACTCAGCTGAGAGCAGAAACAGGAGTATGAAGTACTTTGAATTCTACCAGACATACACTGCATTTTTGTCATACCAAAGGGTGAAGAAACAAACCACACACATGCTCCAAAGCATTTTCCTACAGTTGTATTAACACTTCCACTGGAACAATTATTTTTTTCCAATTAACTTGTTTAATTTAGCTGGAACTACTTTTCCTTTTTAAAGAAGGGGCCACTTGCTTGGTGTGAAGCATTTGAACCCAAAGCCATGAGCCAGAGTTTTAGAGTAGAATGCTGGTGAAGCCACATACCTCAGAAGGGTTATTTTAATCACTCCAGAGGAGGTCAGGGCTGAGGATGCACAGCATTTCAGTGTTAGCTACGTGTGCAAAGGGCACACATTGCTGGAGAATCTCTCCTTTGGCTAACTTTAATTCAGTAAAAAATCAGTGCTATGTGAGAACAAAACAGGAGTCAGACCTAAATGTTGATATATGAGTCCTCCAGGAAAGAAAAGGAGAATCAGGACGAGATGAAAGGAAAAATAACACGTAGTAAACCCTGAGAAAGGTTAAAGACATGCATCAGCTGCTGGTAGGTGGAGGGATGCAAGCCAGGTACCTGTACTGCTCTGCTCTGCCTCTTCATTTGCCACTCTCATCAGTGCATCCAGCACGAGGGCATTGTCCAGCCAGGTGTACCACTCCTCCAGCTCCTGCAGGAAGCTGGAAGTTCCTGTTGTTTCAGACACCTTCCGTGTGGCCAGTTTGCACAACCGCTCAATGAAGCCTGGAATATTCAGAAGTGTAGCTGGGGAAAAAAAAACAAAAAACAAAAAAACAGAGAAATAATTTTGTTACAATTTAATATCACAAGGTACCAGCACATCTACTTTAGGAATACAGAAGTGTATGGTTCAAAAGATCTGGTTAAAAAATTCTGAAGATGGAAGAATTCAGTGCACTCTCCTGTTAAGGACTGGAAGAGAGCATCCATAGCCCAGGAATAATTCAGTGTTGTTCTCCAGTCTTATCAAGGAACTGATCTGGCTGAAAACTAAGCTGGCAGAAATAAAGCAGCAGCTTTTGCAAGTGGCAGCTCCACCTCCCCATTCCTCCTTCATTTCCCCTCCTGTGGTGCTGGTCTGTAGTGACTGAACTGGCTCCCTGCAGCAGCAGGGAGGGAAGGGAACAGCTTTTCAAGTACCAGGTTCCTGAATTAGCTCTTCATGGAGCAAAACAGGTGGAGAACACACCACAGCGGCTGCAGGTGTGAGGGTTTTAACTGTGCAACTGCACCCTTAGAGCAGTGCAAGGACAGAAATGTTTGGGGAGGTGCATTTTGCCCTAAAGAATGACTTAATTACAGGACCTGTTTAATAAAGATACATGGCTAAAGCTTCACTTCCCACTTCCAGGGCAAGGAGAAAAGGACAAAGAATTTGGCCATGAACATTACATGAGAGAGCTGCACCTCTGAAAGAATAGGCTCCCTGATAAAATGTTAAAAATAGAATATACAGTACAGCCTTAGAATCAGTCTCTGATTGCGCCCATAAAAATGATCAGCTAAACATTTGCTTGGCATGGGCCTACGCAAATATCTGCTTCAGGAGCCCAAAAGCTTTCCAGCACAGTAAGAGCTGAAAACAGCAGATTCTACATCTGATGGTACTTTAACTTTTTCAATTCCTACTCATTCTTCTAGGCAAGACTTCTGCACTGAGAAGTACTCAGCAAAATAAGGAAAGCTGCACTGTGCCCAAAGTTAGATCAGCCAAAGTTAGCTCAGATCAGCCCCAGATTTCCAAGGCTGATTTGGTAACACTGGGCAACATAATTAATATTAAACATACTTCTCTTTCAAGACATCCTGTTCAGGACAACATCAGATAAAATCAGAGAAGGAGCTGCTCCAACAGCAACCACACTGCAGGCAGCTTTAGTTTAGGAATTCATATTTTATGGAGGACACAGAATTATTGAGAGCTGCTAATGGGGAGACTGTGGATGTGGCTGAGACACAGAAAACAAACCAAATTATTTTATGCCACTCAGAGAGTGCTGAAATGACAGAAATTAACCCACCTAATTAGCAACCATCTGAAACCAAAAGCTATAAAGTTTTACTAACAGGAAAGATTGTTTCCAGGAAACAATCTGTGAGGAGTGAATCCAGAAAAATGCTTTGTAAGACACAACACTTTCAGTATCTTTCAGAAACATAACACTATGTGATACTGAGAAGAGGAAAATTTTATACATTGCTGAGATTATTCTGATTTGTTCACAGCACAACAATTACCTTGATTAATTTCAGCTCGGGAAGGGCCCAAGTTTTTTTTCTGCTGGGCATTTTTGGCCAGAAGTGTGTGCTTGTCATCACTGCCCGTGTCGAGCTCTGAGATGGTGACAGCCAGGATCCTGCAGAAGTTGGCCAGCTGCTGCTGGTCAAAGCTGGACACCAGGCTTGCCAGGTTGGGAATATCATCCAGCTGGATCATTTCCTGGGGAGGCAACACCAGCTCAGTCACATGGGATGGTCAATAAGTGAACACTGGCAGATGCTCCCTGGGGAGCTCTCTGGGTTATTCCAGTGTTAGCTGGGATTTACAACTGTTGTCAGGCTTAGCAATTCCAAAAGTACAGATATCCACATTTAAAATACGATGTTTATATTTACAAAAAAATTGAGGCCTTTTTAAACTAAAAAACCCACAAAACAACAACCTAATTTAATACATAAATTATGTTTAGGTATTATAAGTTTCATTTTTGTTTTCAAATTCTGTCTTTTCTTTGAAATTCACAGATAAAAACTTCTAAATTATTTCTCAGTCTTTTCATCAGAAGTTCTTTTATATAAAGATGTTGAAAACAGCTTTCAGAAGAAAATCCCACATTTTTGTTCAGATAAACTAAGATTGTTTCCTATTTCAGGAAGTACATCAATCTCAATCTTATTCTAAATAATAAAGTATCAAGTTACAGACTCCTGGCCTTCTCCACAAAGTGCACACAGTCACTTTCCAATCAAGGTTCTCCCAAGGTTACACCTCAAATATTTTATTTGCATCACATCAGGGCACTGAGCTGCAATGCTGCTGGTATATAAGTTCAATAACCAGGTTGGTGCAGAAGATTTAAGTGCCCCATGTCCCCAGCCTACAACTTCTCAGAGGTGACAAACACCCAGAAATACAGAGGAAACCTCCCAGATGTGAGGAAGACAAGTAAAGTATGTGAAGTACAATCAGCAGGCAAGGATGAAAACTGAATTTATATGAGGTTCATCTTCTTTTTTTGTAGTATGGGGTGTTCTTTAATGACAGTGAGGGACTCAGATCATGGGGACATAGCTCCCATCATTCTCTGAACTGGGTAAAAGCACTACAAGTATAACAACATATGAATAGTTTGGCTTCTTTATGAAAAGTGATTGAAGTTATTTACCACTGTGAACAGGCAGGTTTCAAATAAGCTGCAAGAACTGAGAAAGGCAGCTTAGAGAACTATCCTTAGCAACTCTTCAAAGAAACAGCTGTCTCTTCTACTGGGCTGGAAAACCATACAAATGATATTAAGAAAGTATTAACCAACCTTTTTAACTCCCAGGATATCTTCAATCAGCGTTGCAGTTTGTAGGAATGTCTTTTTGTTTGTCATCAGTGTAAACAGGAACAACACAAAGTCATTTCTCTCTGCCAGCCGCCTTGTGACTCCTTCCGTCTGGAAATGAGCACACACAGAGCCCGTGAGAGCCCACCCGAGCAGCCACGGGGCACAGCACATGCAGAACAGCCCTACAGGTGATGTGCTGCTGAGCCAGCTGCTCCTGAAACCAGGAAATGCTGTGTTTGTGGCAACCAAAACCATCTCCAGTCCTTGTCTGAAGTCAGCGTGGTGCCGGGATGAGGTTTCAGCTCATGGCAGCCGTTTCTTTGTCTGAGTCTAAAGCCAACCCTCCCTGCCTGGGCACACACCACAGGGACCTGGCTCTGCTCTGCCATACAAAATGTGATCAGCTCCCTGCCATGGGCTGCACACACAGCAGCTCCTGAGCCCTCAGCACTGCTCTGTCTGAGCAACCCACGTCAAGCATTGGCATAAAAGAACGGGGTGATGAACTCCTAAGTCAGGCTGAGGCATGAAAACCCAAGTTTAAAGCTGCCCTTCATTCTCTGAGCTCTGCTGAGAGCACAGCCAGGCTTTCCTGGAACTCACAACTACATCCCCACTGCTTGCAAAACTGTGTCTTATCCATGACTGACATATTCCAAGTATTCACAGAACCAAAGATAATCCCCCAGTATTTGCAGATAAGCATTAAAACAGCTAATATTGCCCACAGACCATTTCTGTGATCCTGGACACTTCTCATCCAATCCCAGCAATAATACCAAAGTGAATTAAAACAGAGCAGCTAGTCTAGAAATTGCAAAATTGTTTTTTTAGAATATCTAGTTTGCAAAAGTTGCATTACCTGCAGTTAAAAAAGTAAATCATCCAAGCCAAGGAAAAAAGTGTTCCCTCTCTTCCCCCTCCCGTGTGCACACAGATCCTAATCAGTGAGACATGATCTAGGTAAGACTCAAACTCTGGAGATTAGACTGATGTTTTTGGAAGAGCTCCAAGCCACTAACTGGCTCTTTTTTTAATTTTTGTTAAATAATGTTCCCTAGGTTATGGCATAATGAGGTGTGTGATGAAGTAAACAATCCTGAGAATGTTCCCTGCATGCATAATCTGAGGCCTTTGCTTTTAGCTTCAGGATTTTAATGACAAGGTATTTGCAGAGGCCCTTAACACAGCACCTTCCTTTGCACTGATCTGCAAAGACTGAACTGAACTAAAATCCAGCACATGGAGTTGCAGGATCAAATTTAAAACCCTCTGCCAGCCCCAGTTCTGAACAAGACCAGCTGGAGCTGGGCTCAACAGGCATCCACTCCCAGCTTCAGATTTTAAGCTGGAACGTAACAAAGGCTGGCACAGCTTTCAGTGGAAAGACAGAGACAGAAAGATCCAAACAAGGAAACTTCAGCATGACAGTGAGGCTCAGAAAACAAATTATATGAGCAATACATCAAAATAGAGAATGATCCTGTATTTAACTGAAAGAATTTTTATGTAAAGCTTCAGAGTAAGTTCAAATTACATTTCACAGAGTCTGTTGTCTTATCAAGTAGCACATGCAAAAAGTGACCAGGAGAGATGTACTTACACATATACAGGTGTTGTACAGTATGCTTAAACAGTCCTTGATGAGGTCATCACTTACTGCAAAGGAGAGAGCAGACAGTCAGCAGCCATTCCCTGCCAAGGAACCCCAGTGGCTGTGGGAGGGACATGGAGAGCTATAGGATAGGTGACAATTTCAGGCTGCCAGCTCAGAGCATTCGTGCAAATGCTTTATAGGATTGAAGCCACAAGAAACATTCTACATCCAACCTGTTCACACGCTAAATTATTTTTGTATGGGGGAAAAAAATGACAGTTCATGCAGTTTTCTCCACTGGAAACTCATGCTTGTTTTCTCAGCACCTGGACTTCATAGAAAATCTTTCAATCTGCTTTACCGCAGCATTTTAATATTTAAAATATGTTTTTACTACAGACCTTCTGTTGCCTAAAGCTCCAGTTCAAGTCACTTCACCTTTGAAGTTCCCTGGCTGGCAGGCACAGGGTGCACCATGACATTCCCTTCCCTCAGCAGGGCTCGGGGAACCAGCAGAATCCCAAACAGGGGAAATGAAAACACTGCAGCCAAGCTGCTCCAGCAGGAAAGTTGAGCTGAAGCCACTGCACCCCCTCTCCTTACAGCAATGTGGAAATGAGCAGTCACGTAACAAAAAGTGTGCTGTTTTCCTGAGCTACTCATCTCACAATCTCTGTAGCTCCCATTACACAAACAATGCTTTGTGGCTTATTATTAATAATTTTTCACTGTAGCTGTAGCCACAGAAATAGTAAGAGTTTCCACTGATTGCAGATTTAGTGCTTTGAGTCAAGTGTGTTGTGCTGAGTGCGTGAATCTCCGGAACTGTGCCAGAAACAGGTGACGCTCCCAAATCCCAGCACGAATCAGTACCACGGAGAACAAAGAAACCAATGATTCACTCCTAAATGAATCAACAGGAAATTGCTGGGATGGAAAGAGAATAACAGAAAAATAGAACAATTTCTGTCTGAAACAGAAACACCAGGCAAAATTGGGGAAAAGAAAAAGATATAAACCACCTATTTACTTACTTTTCTGCTTCTTTTTCTGTGTAATAAGAGTTGGTCTCATGAGAATTTCTACTAAAAGCTGTAAAAATAAGACAAAGAATTAAGGGAATGATCACTGAGATACAAATAACCAATTAATTTGTCAGTGACAAACCCAAACCTGCCCCTGCTGAAGTCACAGAGGTGAATAATGAAGGCTCTACAATCAAACCCCCACTGGTGTCAAAATCAGAATGACAAATAATAGTTGGATTTACCCTGAAGAAACAGTGAGAGCTCTACAAAATAGTCTCCCACTGGCAAATTTTAAAGAATTTGAGCTTGCAAGGAGTGTAATTTCACATGCCTCCAGATAACATCAAGGATGGTGATCACACATCTCTTAAAATAAGGAATCTTTAGCAATAATCTGCAAAGAGATGCAAATTTTGCAAAGGCTTTCCCTAAATCTTGCTGGGCTTCAAAAACATTTCAGGTCCAGATAGAATTTAGCAGCTCCAAAAAGCCACTGCTTGTGTGTAGCACCCTGTATGTATATTCACATTTATATTTCTATTTAATGAATGGACAATCAGCTTTCCAAGATCAGGAATGTGGTTCTGACTGATGTACAACTGATCTTTAGTTGCTCTAGTCTGTTCTACTGGTTTACCTTAAAACATTTGAAAAAACAGCACTTTATTTAAAAATGAAAGCTGGCAAACAGAAGGAACTGATGACTTCTGCAAGAGCTACTGCAAATGCCAGTGGTTTTAAAATTAAAATAAAAAATTTTAAAATTGTTAACAGCAATGCAGGCATCACCCAGTCAGTGCCAACTCACAAGATATTTAAGAGCTTACAACTTGATCTATTTGTCTCATCTTAACATTACCCTTCTTTTAATGAACTACTGATCCAGATACAGAGAAAACCACCTGACATCACTGGAAACTACATTAAAAGCACTGACAAATAAAGAAATAAATAGGCAACTTTTAAGAGGAATCTATATTTTCTAGCAGAATTTGTAGTAGCAGCTGTAGCATTAATAGGGTAGAGAAAAATGACTGCAGTAATACAGATCTCATATTAATGGCTTATGTTTCAGGAGAAGCAAACCTCAAAGTTTGGGGTTTATAGGTTTATGCTTTAATTCTTGGGTTTTCTGCCTCTCACCAGAGGCAGAAGGAGCAGAAAGGGAATGATAAGATGGTGTTCTTTGGGATGGGGTTACATTTAGATATAAAATCTATGAGATTTGTGTATTTGCACCCTCAGGCCTTATTTTACATGGATTCACATAAAGGAAGGAGCCACTGAGCTGGTTCTGTTCTTCCTAGATGTAAAGGCTGTCAGAATTTAAAAATATTTTAACTCTCACACATTGTAGCCTAGAGTGTGCACTGCAAACTGTGTGTCCTTCAAAGTTACTCATGTTCCACTGCCCAAAACATTACAACATAAAATCAGCACATGGCACACACAGCACCAGCAGATCCAACTTCTTCCCTTTCAAACCCTAGAGTAGGATTTTTGAAAACACACAGCACTGGCTTCCATCACTGCCTTTAATCACATTAAAATCAACTTTATCAGCCAAATCTCTGACCATAGCACCAGGTAATTACAGTGGATCTGATACTCACCATCTCCAGCCCAAGGAGAAAAAAACAACCAAGCCCCAGCCAATCAAACCAAAAACTTGTCCCCAATACACACAGATTCTGTGCACTACATTAAAATAATTTCTACAGAAGTACCACTATTTCCCTTTAAAAACAAGGGAAATTTAAAATATTTTCACAGTGTTCTCATTTGCTTGGGTAGCTGAAGGTTTTTGCCCTCAACTGACAGCAGCAACCAAAGCAGTGCTCATTTCAAAACAACATAAACAGCAGCTTTAAGTAAGCTAAGTGTGACAAGAAATAAATGGCAAAATCTGTTTAGTTAAACTAAATAAAAAGAGAGTGTCACTTAGTTCACTGGAAAATAAAAATCATACATTTCTAATGAAAGCCAAGCCAGAGAAGGGCACCATAAAACTGAGCAAATGGGTATTTGTGCAATGTAGAATTCATGCAAATAAACAAAATAACAAATTGCCAGGATGGCCACAGAAATCTTCCAGTTTTGTTTAAAAACTTTGCCACAGATGAAGCAATAAACACAGACAACATGGTTAAGACAAAGCCTTGGAGTGCTTAAACTGCCACAGACCCCCCCAGTGTTAAGTGAAATTCTCACTGCTCCAATGCCAATTGTGTTATTTTATCACACAACCAGGAATCATGTGAAACTGTCTTCATTCAGAACTAAAAGTCTCATTTTTTTTAAGATAAAAAAAGACTGAATAAAGAAATAGCCAGGCATTCCGTATCATATAAGAACAAAACACCTCACTTTGGATGTAATACCTTGAAAAATACATCCTTTTCCTATTCTGATTAACAGAAAGAGGAAGAAATCTAATGCTTAACACTAAATTGGTAAAGCCATTCTGTAGTTTGCCTTTAGATGCTTCAAAGACCTCACTAAAGAGATTTTAGAGTAGGATGATTATCATACAGATCTTTTGATACTGAAAAGCCACACTTACATCGACTCCTCCAAACAAGTCAAATGTGTATGTGTTTGGGAAACTGGACTCTTGAGCAGCTTTTCTGTCCTCTGTGACATAAACCATGGCTTCCATTGAAAGGAGAGGAGAAATTTCCTGCATGTAGAGAAAAAACAAAGAGATGGTTCAAAAAGAAAATTCTTCATCAGTGTAAAAACAATTATCTTCCTCTATCTGTGTGATCCACTGACTAATCATTACCTGCATACCCAGCTCTTACTTACCAGCCAATTTTGGACAGATACCATCATGCAGACAGCTTGAAAAATGAATAGAGTATGATCACAGTAGACTTTAAAGAAAGCCACAACAAAACTATCTCAAGCTTTAGGAAGAAGGGTGCAGCCATTACCTTTAGGATGCTTTGGCACTGGGAGAAGTCGCTGTTTGGGTGGCTGTGCTCATACAGTTTCTGCAACAGCAAGGGGATCCCATTCCATTTTGCCTGTTTATCCCTTTCCTTCAGCAAGGCCTCCGTGATCTGCAAGGAAAGAAAAAAAGTGATTCCCATGTGTCCAATACTTCATAACCAGGAAAATAGCCTTATCACCATCCTGGGAAAAGAGCTAGCAAAATCCAGTACCTTTTTCCATGCAGCAATTTATCCAGGAGAGGTAGCTGCAGAATTTTACAGATGCAAAATATCTTAAGCAGCACAGGGCTTAAAGCAGATGTCATTTAGAGTACATAATCTCATTCTGTACTTTTATATTGATTGTGTATTTTTAAATGGGAACACATTAGCCTCTAAACAATTCCATTAGCAGAACTCCAATTGACAGGTCAGTGGAGGAGGAAATGGGTGCCCTGACACTATCTCAAATTACACTGGTCAAAGGTGTAGAATGCTGAGGCTGGAAAGGCTTCATTACTTGATGCATTCAGCTAGAAAGGAATATTTCCTCAGCCAAGTCCCTGAAGTCACTGGTCACAGCAATGACCCAAACCACAAAGATTTACAAGCAGGAACATATCGAAGATAGAAAATTCCCTCTTTAGTCTTGGGCTGGTTGTAAATGGAGATCACCAACTAAAATAGCAGAACAACAATGCTGGCATTATCCTGAGAAACCACAAAAAAAGAACACTTGGCATTCGTTACTATAGCTCTCCAAACTTTCTTCAATGTTCTTCCTTCTTCCCTAAAGTAAAAAAAAAAAATAAATCCTATTTTCATCACTATGTTTAACACCTAAAAATAAAAGTAGCAGCACAAGACTAAAATATTCTGCTTAAAATCCACAGAAGATGTTTTGAAGCCTGAATACTTCTAGGTTAATGCCAGGAGATCTGTCAAGGAGGAGCTTAGGACATTCAATTAAAATCCATCACCCAGTCAATGCTGACCAAACTTTAACTCCTTTCTTTTCTGGTACTTCAGAAGGTACCTACACCAACCCCAACACAAGGACTTACCCTTGTGCACAGGAGAAGGTAAAGCAAACAATTACAGCAGGATTTTTGGCTGGGTTTACAAATGTTTTATGTGCCCTCCAAATAAAAACAACAAATAAAAAACCCTCCAATCCTCTGGTCAGCACCTCAAGGCAAACCTTAGTAAACAGAATACCCTGAGCTGGGAGGGACCCCCAGGATCCCCCAGCCCAGCCCTGGCCCTGCCCAAACCCCCCAACAACCCCACCCTGGGCATCCCTGGCAGCGCTGTCCAAACGCTCCTGGAGCTCTGGCAGCCTCGGGGCCGTGCCCATTCCCTGGGGAGCCTGGGCAGTGCCAGCACCTCTGGGGAAGAACCTTGCCCTGACATCCAGCCTGAGCCTCCCTGGCACATTTGTGGGTTTGCTCTTACTCCTCAGCCTGGACTCCTAAGGTGCTCTCATTCTGCACCCTTCTGTGCTTAGGTGACATTTCCCTCCCACCTGCTTAAATCTCGCTTCTTATTCTTTCAGCCAAGATATTGTTCTCAGACACATTTCAGTGCACAATTCCAAAGGGCCATTCAATTCCTGATTAGACAATTATATGCAAATATACTGCAAATTCTGACTGAGAATTTAACCCTATTCTCTGCTTGTTATACAGAAGACCAGAGACCTGATTCAAGCTGAGAACTCAGCCTGGCAGTGTAGCTGATGTGGGTCCTCACCCTCTTTGTAAGATTCCCAAGTACTTAGGATTCTTTTCCTGATGAAATACCTAAATTTTTACCTAAATAAGAACTTCAAGGGTCTTGAAATACCAGGTTTTCTTTCTACAAGCCAAGTGATTGAAGCAGCATAAGCACACCTGGGACATAAAATTCTCTCCAGTTTTTAACTTCTCCCTGCTTTCTGATTTCTCAATCAGAGGAATCAACCAGCACTGCTGGAGAGTAAAACAGTTTCCTTCTGAGCAGGAGAAATAGCAGAGAACCAAACCAGAAAGCCAAAATGACTTCTCATCATTTGGGCTCTGGGTCAGCTCCTTGGAAGTCACAGATTCCATTTCCCCTTGAGATACCAAGCACAGAGGGAGCCAAAGGAGCTCTACCACTGCCACATCCCAGGTGTGGGAGGAGAACAAACCCACAGGCAGTGGAAGGAACGGGATTAACTGCTGGGCAAAGTGCAAAGAACATGCAGCAAAATGCCAGGGAAAGAGTCCAACTCTCCAGCTCCAACTGATGTGGAAGATACCACAGGCAGGGATGACGTGCACAGGCTGCAATCTCAGGTTCCAGTAGCACAGAGCAGAATCCAGCACTTAAATGCTCTCAGGAAAGTCCAAAACCCTTTAATTAACATTAAAACCTCGTGTTGGGTTTAACACCACATTGTTAATCACATGTATGCTTCTTGGTTTGAGGCAGGATCCATCTGAGCCACCTCCACTCCCATTTCTGTACTAGCAGGGCTTCCTCTCCCAGCCCCAGCCTCCAAGAGGTGGCCACAGGAAACTTTCAGAACTGAAATTCTGAAAGAGTGAAGTAAACATTTCCTTGCTCTCATCATCATATAACTGCTTTCAAAAGAAAAAAAAAAATATATAAAAGAAAAGGCTTTCTTTCTCTTGATTTAACATGTCTTTGGTTTCACTGCAAGCTCTGGCTTGTGGTCCCTGCTCTGTATTTGAGGCTGCCCTGGCTCTGGATATTTCCATTGTGGCTGGGTGGTATTTGCCAATGCAAAGATTTTGGATTCTGGGAAGGGATTAAAATTCAATCAGACTTTGTGGAGCTGTCTTTCTTCACAGCCATTTTGGTTAAAAACTGCATCTCCTATTTTCCATAACAGCAGCTAGTCAATGCTTTTCATTTATAAGCAAAAATGGTTTTCTTTTTGGGGAAATTTTACTGAATAGTCATCAAAATCAGCACCGGGTCTTTTGGGTCTCCTTTCCTCTGTGGAATTTTTGGTCTCATTCAAGCAAGAAGAAGAGGCTGCAGCAGCCCAGCTGGAAGAGGTATCCATTAAAAGCCAGGACCTCCCTAAGTGCTGGCAGCTGGGTTTGGAATTGTCACACCTTACTGGTGTGACAACACAGTAAGGATCACTTCCTGGGAAAACAAGAGCAGCGGCGTATAAATCTCCCTAAGAGCCAGGTACAGCAAACCAAACTGGGACAAACACCAGGACTCCACACAGTCACTTCCCAGATTGCTACAACACATCCACCTCTGGCTCACAGAGAAACCCGAGGAAGGCACACTGGGGCTCCCCGGGGTGCTTCTGCTCCAGGAGATCCCTGAAAACACAGCAGCACAAACCAGCTCATCCACAGCTCCCAAGCTGTGTCCCAGTCCAAAGCTGACTGGACAATCCTGGTTTTACACCCGTGGTTTTCCTGAATGCTGCTCCCCAGCCAGGTGATCACCACCTGGCCAGGACCATCCACATCCCCCTGCTCCAGCCATGCCAGCCAGCATGGATTTGCTGGAAGGGCAAGCAGAGACCTTTGGAGAGGATTTAAATTCAGTGATAAAAAATGTGTCACCAGCCCACCCGTGACTGCAAGGTAGAACAGACTGAGTGGTTTTCTCTTTAGACTCCCATGGAAATGGAGCTCAGGATTTCCCAGGAGACTGACACAGACTCCAAAGACTGTTAACTACCATAAGAACACTTTCCAACTACACAGTTTAAATAACTTTTGTGCATAATTTTCCTTGACAGTATACAATGGGCTGAAAAAAGACACTGCACACAACTATTTATTTTAAATACTAAATTTCCTTCTAATCCAATTGTCTTTTAAATATTTTCAATTATAGAATAAGAAGCACAGAATATCCTGAGCTGGGAGGGACCCACAGGATCAGCCAGCCCTGCCCAGACCCCCCAACAACCCCACCCTGGGCATCCCTGGCAGCGCTGTCCAAACGCTCCTGGAGCTCTGGCAGCCTCGGGGCCGTGCCCATTCCCTGGGGAGCCTGGGCAGTGCCAGCACCCTCTGGGGAAGAACTTTTTCCTAATATCCAGCCTAAACTTGCCCTGACAGCATTGATTTGCATGACGGACAATAAATAATTATGAATACCTGAATCTTCATGAAGTTATACACTAATATTTGCCTAAATCCATCCCTTGATCAGTCCAGTCTCCCTTTCACTTGTCCCCCTCCACTTTGCTCGTCCTCCAGGCACAGCTGCTCCAGCAGCACAGGGGCAGCTCCTCCCCACTGCTGTGTCCATGCCCTGGCAAGTGCCCAGCACTGTACTGCCAGCATTGCCAAAAGATTTCTTACTGCCCTGAGATCTCCTGGAGCTAAAGTTGCTCCCAAATCCATTCCTCTTTCAGAGAATATTTTCCTTCCCACCTCTTTTTCCACACTGTGACAATTTTCCTTGCCCTACAAAGCAAACCTCTGATTTTTCTAAGCTTGCCTCCACCCCTGTGCTGAGCTGTGGTTAGTGACACCTCCCTGTGTCTTCCCAAAACTGCCAACCGAAGGCCCAGCAATGGTGACAGCAAAGAAATACCAGGAGCTAATCCTCCCTTTGCTCTCCAGGGCAGAGCCAACAATTTCCTGATAGAATTGTGTCTCTGTTTCACATTTTACCCTTCAAACATTTCACTGTCTTGATGAGTGCTCGCTACAGGAGGGCGTTTGCTGTCATCTCTCAGAAAGCAAAACCAGTGACTCAGGTGTCCAGGCATCCTTCGCAGCACTGAAGGGTTCCTGCCGTGACAGACTTCACAGCTATGACACATCACTTAGAAGGTTTTTTTAATTCAATTTCTCATTGCAACCATACATTAAGACTGGAAGTGCTTTTTAAAAAAGCTGAATTTCCATTCTTGGGATTTTCCATGACCACTTCTGAAGTATATATTCAAATGTCCTCAAAGGAAACAGGCACAAGATTATGGATCTTGACAAAGATATGCAAGCACACGGTCTCTACGTATTTTTAATAAATTTGAAGCCTTTCCACATCCTTTCCTTCAAGCCTTTTAAGCTGTACCTTTAAAAAAACTCAGGAAACTAATATTTGTGCAATTATATACTTAATTTTCCTCTAAACAGTAATAATTTAGGAAGTAACTTCTGATAGACTACCAGGAAGATGATTATTCAGGATTTCGGGGAGTGCCCCACCATCCAGCTCTGTACTGCATTTTCCTTTCCAGTTCCTAACAACCATCCATCAGCCTGGCTAAGCCACCTCCTTCCTCACACAAGTTCAATCGTGCCTCTAACCAAGGCAAATGACCCTGCAAGCTTTGGTCTTAACACAACAGCATCTGCAGGAACACAGCTGCTGGCCCATGGAGAGATTCTGGAAAGCATTCCAAGGGAGAAGCTGAGAACTGCAGCCCTGCAGCTCCGGGGCAGAACACACTGTGGTCAGTCACCAGCTGAGCTCTGATCAAAAACAGGGCAGAGCCCCACAGATATTAATCCTCAAAGGAAACTGCTGGGAGAAGTCTGTGTAAGTGCACTTATGTCCAGCCTCCTTCCAGCTCCTTGATCCTTCAAGTGCAGATCAAGATTCCTTTAGCTAGATTCCCTTTCTCCATCCTCCCCAGCCCTGCATGGGGCCCCTCATCCCTTCTCCAGCCAGCCCAAAAGCCAGGAATGAACCCAGGGACACACTGTCCTAGGATAAAACATGCCAAAGCTTCTAGCCAGGCCTAACCATTCCCAGAGCTCCCAGACTAGAGCTCTGCTCACCAGAACTGGAAGAAGAGCTGGTCTATCAAGACAAGGAGCAGGTCTCCTGAACCTCCAATCCCCACAGCACTTCCCAGAGCAGGGCAATTCCAACACAGACCTTAGACACCAGCAGCTCTCCAAACCCACTACAGGATCTATCACATCAGAACAGAGCTACTAATGTTTGTTTTGCTGACCTTGCTCTCAGAGAAAAATAGATCAACTAATATGTATAATTTTATACAATATATATTTTATATAATATGTATAATATTAAAATTATATTAATTTCTCAATTACTACTTTACCTTTAAACTTCTTAAGTTTCTTCTTTAATTCATTTAGACAGAAAAATAAAATCTGTAGGGCTATCTAAGAAAAAGCAAAGGGAGAACGAGTATCACATCTACCTTCTTCTCACTCAGCTTCAGCCACACAAAAAAAATCAGACACCAACACAGCTTAAGTCCAACACAGCCACTTTTTGAGCATTTCTAGTGCAAGACAGAGCTCTGGTCCTGTTACATAATAAAAGCATGTCCAGGCTTTCCAACACACCCTCACTGTCCTCCCCTGAAGAGGCCTAAGCCTGCTAACACCCACACAATTAGAGCTACTCAAGTGGATTATATTCACGTGAATGTTGTTTTGTTGGTGCTGTTGTAAGGAGGGAACAAAAAGCTGACTCAACACCAAAATCTTTTCTCAGGGTTAGGAAGCTACTCCTGCTGATAACTTGTAATGGCAGGAGTTGGAAATCTGCATGTCTGAGGAAGAAAATGTTTTTCTTCTACAGAGCACTTTTTAGAGTGGATAGGGACTGTCCTGCTAAGGGAAGTGTCTGCTCCAAGGGATAGCAAACATGAAATACAGATGGAAAAATGGACTCCTTTTTTCCATTCTGATTGTTTCAGCTAAGCCTTGGCAATCCTATGAGGGTGAGAGCAGTGCTGACGCTCAGCTCTTGGGACTGCACCAGGAGCATGTTAGTTTGCCAACAAATCCCTGGTCAGTCCATTATTACACTGCTCTGTCTACAGAGATTCCCAGAGCTGCACCTAAATATCTTGTGGTTTCATGCCACATCCACGTTGTTCACAGCTGGCCTGCAGCAGATGAAGTGTGTACCTTCTTGCTAAGCGGATTTGAGCTTGATCAGCTGAGCCAGAGCGTTCTTGGCTTTCAAGGAACAGCAGCACAAACCTCACCCCAGAGCCTGTGGTCCTTGGCACAGCTGTGCCCTGAGAAGGACAACACATCAGGCCCCTCACAAGCAATATCCTTCCATATTAGAAATGTGCCACTTCTGGAAAGCTATTCTGCTGCTGGTTCACCAGGACCTGCAAAGCCCCTTGCACTGGCTCTGTGCTCAGGGCAGGGCAAATCCTGATCCAAGGTTATGCAATCTGATACCAAGACTGAGGCTTGTGTGCAGGGCAGCAGCTGATGCCAGCAATATGGATAAAACAGATCCAGGAACAAATAATGGCAGTATCAACTGAAATCTGCTTTAGCTAATCAACTTCTTATCACAGAATCATTTAGATTGGAAAAGACCTCCAAGACCATAGAGTCCAACCTGTGCCTGATCCCCACCTTATCACCCAGCCCAGGGCACTGAGCACCATGTCCTGTTGTTTCCTAGACATCTCCAGGGATGGGGACTCCACCATCTCCCTGGGCAGCCCCTGACAATGCCTGAACCATCCTTTCCAGGAAGACATTCCTCCTGTAGTCCAAACTGAACCTCCCCTGGCTCAGCTTGGGGCCATTTCCTCTTGTCCTGTCCTTGCAACCTGGGAGTAGAGCCCAACCCTCACCTGGCTGCCCCCTCCTGTCAGAGAGTTGTGCAGAGCCAGAAGTTCCCTGTGAGCCTCCTTTTCTCAAGACTGATGCTCCTTCCCAGCTCCCTCAGCCACTCCTCATATGACTGACTCTCCAGTTCTGTTGCCCTTCTCTGAATAATTTATTATTAATAATAAAGCAAGACACCAACTGGCAAGGAAGCCAAGGGCTCTGGGTAGGTGAGCACAGCAGGAACATGCAGAGATCCAGATTTCAGAGCCTCAGCTGACCTCAAAACTGCCAGATATTCAGAGAGCTGTTGCTGTCAAAACTGCTTTTATGTCCCTGTAAGATCAGAGTGATGAACTTTTAGATGCAGGCCTGTCAACAGTGATCCTTCCCAGCTCACAGCTAAGCCCCTACTTTCCTCATACAAAAATGGATCTTGAGATCACCTAAGAATAGCACACAAAGCTTTGTTCAGGGCTAAATGCCACTGCTGCCCATGGCAGGCACTCCAGCATGGAACTGTGTTTCCCAATCTCCCTGAATTAACACCTTGAGAAGGGTTTCCCCTCCCTACAGGACACCAGCAGTGCAGTCCAGGCAGCACATGACCCAAAACTTCCTTCCAAAACACAGATAGAAAGAGCTTCAAGGACACTCTCATGATTTGCTCTACACCCCAACACAGCAACCTGAGCCGCTCTCAGGCTCAGCAGGAGCAAATCAGTTGAGAAATCAAGAAAGGACTCCCATGCTGCAACTGAGGAGTCAACTGCACAAAAACAGGGGATGTTTTGATAGAACACGGAACTTAAAAAAAGAAAAAGAAAGCAGGCAAAACTGCCTTGAGATTCTTTAAAAGTTACATTGAAGTGTTTTATATTTAGATTGTCTACAAACAAAAAATTGATTCAAGGTTAAAGTACCAAGACATAGAATTTATAAAGTTCAAAATCATTCAGGGAGTTGTTATTCCCCCTGCCTTAGTGTAAAAGAATCACAGAATGGTTTGGATTGGGAGGAACATTAAAGCTCTTTCAGTCCCATCCCCTGCCATGGCAGGGACACCTTCCACTATCCCAGGTTGCTCCAAGCCCCATCCAACCTTGGACACTTCCAGGGATCCAGGGGCAGCCCCAGCTTCTCTGGGCACCCTGTGCCAGGGTCTCCCCACCCTCACAAGGAAGAATTTCTTCCCAATATCCCATCTAACCTCTGGCAGTGAGAAGCCATTCTCTGTTGTTCTGTCACTCCATGCTCTTACACAAAGTGATTTAAAACATCCTCCTATAGCATTTATGAAGTGCTGGGAGCATTACATGTCCAAGCTTTAACTCTCAGGGCAGCACAAGGATGCCAAGATTTTTCAAGTAAAACAAAACAAAACCCCAGTGACAAAAACACCACCTCATTCTTGGGCATTATAAGGAGTATGCAACCAGCAGAAGCTGCCTTGATTGCTATAAAAGCTTAAAAGCCCAAAATAAAAACAGTAGCACTGAATTTTTCAAGCAAACCAAAGCCCAGAGGTGGAAGCACCATTACAGAGACAACAGAGGTGCATAAGGTTGCTATAGGTTTACCTGACTGAGATTGCAGTGGCTGAAGATGTGCATGAAAGAAAGAGTGCAGAGGTGGACAGGTAAGGCAGTGAGACAAAGTTTGTCCACATGCAATAGGAAATCCACTCCTAAAACAATCCCAAGGAAAGGAATCAGTACAGGTTTATATTCATACAAATTAATGGCTCTTCTTAAGGATTAACCAACCTAGCAGCTGAGGAAGCAGCAAAGTAAGGACAAAAGAGCTGTAAAAAAACATTTGCTCTTTTACCTCTCTGCTGTAGAACAAGGCACAGATATTCATGTTGAACACGATACCTTAGAATTTTAGCTTTTATATTTTTCATCTATTTGTAACCCTGCAGTTCTCAGTGTATAACTCTAAACTCCACACACAGTGGGAGATGCTGCTTTCCCAGTTTGGGCAGACACAACAATTCCTCTCCAGGCCTGGCAATCAAGGACACCTCACTGACTCAGGCCTGAGAGATGGAAACAAAAGTGAGTCAGGGGCAGCAAACTCGGGGTAAATTACTTCATTACCTGGTGAAACCCCCATGACCCCTGGTCCATTTTGGGTGCAGCCCCTGGGGGGTTTCATCTGTCCTGGATGTACCTGAATGCCCTTCAATAAATAGAACTGCTTTTTATTCTCTTCATTTTGTCTGGTGCCTGTTTTTAGGTACTTCCAAAAAGGCATGAAATAAATCTCTTAATAATTGCTCGGAGTCCTTGTTTATCAAAGAAAAATGCTGTTGTCTGGACTAGTGAATTAAAGAAATACCATTTTTTATTCCATCTGATCTCTCTTAAAGATAATTCAGCTCAGTAAATCAGCACCTGAATGCAAGTTCTTTATCTCAGGTTTCATTTTCCAAGTCTTTGCACCATTCTGCATTTAATCTGCAAGGAAAATGCCAATTATTCTCCATAAAAATAAATTATTAGTCCATTATCCTTTAGCAGCTTTTCCAAAAAAGCCAGTATCAGCACACGACAGGCACAGGCCCGGGGCAAGGAGCTGATTTCATTCCTTGGTATTTCCCAGCATCATCAACTGGGAAAGATGACAAGAAACAGATCTGGAGCAGCTTCTCATAAAACGACCTGCGTTACAGAGCTAAAATGTCTCCTAAGCCCTAATACCACGAGGCTGCCTTTGTCCAGGAAATACGTTTAAATTTCGATGCTGCATTGTTACAGTCCCAGGCAGAGCTTCCTTTCTTCGCAGGGAAGGCCACACGGAGCGAAGAGGCGGAGAACGGCTGGGAAATGCCCGTGCTGCTCTCGGAGCTGCCGGAGCCCGGCCGAGGCCGGGGAGGCGGCACGCGGAGCACCAAGGCCCCGGGACACCCCAGCGGGGCCGCCCCTCCAGCACCGCGGCAAAGCCCGAGCACCTCCGGGGAGCTCCGGAGCGCCCAGCCCGGGCTGNTGCCTCCCGCCGGCCCCCAACCCACTGCCAGCGGGCTGCCTTCATCGGCACCGGGCTGCCTTCATCGGCATCGGGCTGCCTTCATTTCCCCCAAGGAAGGCCCAGCCACAAAGGCCCAGCCACGCCGTCTTCCGTTTAAAGAAAAGCGCACCGAGAACTCCGATCACAGTTCGTTTTTGTTAAAATAAAGGCTTGGTAAGATGGAACACCGGAACAAGGAACAGTTGAGGCTGTTCTGTGTTGTTTTGAGTCACCCAGCCCACAGCACTAATCCGAGATTAGCTCAGTTGGTCATAATACCGAAGTTTCAGTTCCTGTCTGGGCCGCTGACTTGGACTCAATCATCCATGTGTGTGCCTTCCAACTCAGACAAATCTGGGAGTCTAAGCAAGATCTAATTACTCACAGCAGCCAGGGACAAATGGGTTCTCTCAGCTCCAGCCATGCTGAGGAACAACCTCATCTCCCAAGCCTACAACCCCTTGGTTCTGCTGCTGGAAGTTCCTGGATGAGGGGACCAAAATGCCCTGGTCAGGAGGGATCTCATGAGTTGGAGATCTGCCCCCATCCTGTAATTTTCCTCTACCTCACAGCTGGGACAATGCTGAGTTTCAGGACCTGACCCAGCACTGAGCAAAGCTGTTGGAGAAGGGGTTTATTTTCTGCAGATTAAATAAACAGCTGGAAAATAAAGCGAGAACAGAACCTATGGTGAGAACAAGAAGCCACTAACAAGAGCTTCATTCTGTCCAACAATGCCTGGTTTTGGGTGCTCCTCTCTCAGAAGGGCTGCAAGGGCTGTGTCAATGCAGAACTCCTGCACTGTCCCAGCTGCCATGGGAAAGAAGGACACAACTAGAAGTTCTATAGCTTCCCAGTCCTTTCAATATGCCTGTCCAACACTGCAGGCATCTCCTACCATAGCTCATTCACAACTGCAACAGGATTTCTACCCCAAAGGATAAAATGCAAATTTTATTTAACTTTACAGCACTAGTAGAGGTCAAAACCACAACAAAAAAATTACTTTCTCAAGGCAAACACACAGCAGCAGAGTGGGCACTGGCCCAGTTGTACTTAAGCATTTCCCTGTTCAGACGGATTTATTTATCCTGTACCTCTAGCCCACTCAAGTAACTGCAGTTTGTGTGTAGCTTGCTCCAAACTCCTCACTTTCCAGCAGGCTTGAAGAAAGTCCATCAACTTTTCTGCCCCCCTTTTTGTTTTTCCTTTAGAAAGAAAAACCTCTTGGTTGGCTGATTCCTCCTTTTCTGGTCACTGCTCGCACCTGTTGCAAAGACACTAATAATGTATTTAAAGGTTTGGATGTGCCCAGTCAGCTGAACACTGAGAGGTTCGTGAACATCTGTTCAGCTGCACCAAGGCAGAGTTGCAATTTCAGCCTGGGCTGAATCCCCTTTCCACCCAAGCCTTGTGCATGGCTGATGTTCAGCCCAGCTGGGGCACTCGGGGGTGGCTGCACTGCCTGAGGTACACTGAAATATGTGGGGCCCAAAGGGAAGTTAGAAAGAGGAAGGAAATGGGGGAAAAAAAAAAAGATAAGCATGTTAGATTCTTTAAAAAGAAAGCAAGCTACACTGAGGAATCAATCAGACATTTCCCAGTCCACCCTCCAGCTCAGTTTTTTGTCCAGACATTACCTGGATTTTTACTGAAGTGGTTTTCAGGCAGGAAACACTGACCTACACTGATCTGAAACAGGGGAACTGAGCACTTCCCCATGTTCCAAGTGCTCCTCTCCCCCCATGCCATCCTTCATGCCCAACAGAAACACCAGAGCTACAAATCTGAGCCTTCACCTTAAAATAGATAAGTTTTCTCCACTGGGCAGCAATTTGTCAACATGAACTACATGTGTATAAAGTGGACAAAGATAAAGATGGAGCACACAGAGAGTGGTAGTGAAGCTACAGTACTTCCTGCTTTTCCCCTTATGATGAGAAGCTTGGGCTCATTTTTGTAGAACAAAGTAAGCTGGAGTGTTTCTGTAAGCCAGTAAAACTCACAAAATGCAATAAAAAAGGTACTTTTAACATGCAGAACTTTCTTTTTCTGGACACCTGTTTGATATTCAGGCAACCAGCTGCTTTGAGATCAACAGCTCAACAGCATTAACAGATGGTATCCGAGTCATGGCTTAGGAAGGAGCAGTAGCAGAATTTAATGGGAAGTTCTTTCACTTCATAATAGAATTCACATTGTGAGGTACCACACTTTCCATTATGAAACTATAAAAATATATTCCCAGAATCTGAAATGAGTTCAATAATTTAAACCAATGATGCAAAGAGGATCAGGTGTTATCTAGGAACACCTGTCCCAGTACTGCAAGCTTGGAGTTAAAAGATTGACTAGGGCAGCTCAGGAGGGAGTGTGAGCTTTTCCTAGAGTTTCTCTTCTCTCCAGGTTTCTCTGAAGAGGCATCTTTGGGATCTTTGGCATTTTCCCCTTCACCATGGTCAGGAACTCTTTTTAAAGTGAATTTCTTGGTTTTTTTCTGTGAGTAGAATTCCCTCATCAAGTCTTCCACCTCCCACTGCTCTTCTTTGCGCTTCCTACAGCAGTGCAGGGCAGCAGGGTCGATGGGATGAGCCTCGGTGTTGAAGATGTACCCTCCAGCATTGAGGACACACTCCCCGTACGGTGTGACCACCACATCGAAGTCTGAGCCGTCATTGTGGATGAAGTTGTCTGGGTCAAACAGCAGGTACAAGTATTTGATTGTTTCAGCCAAGAAGAAGGATTCCATGCGATTATCCAGCCTGTGGTCCCTCAAGTCTTTGATCTACAAGAGAAGGAACAAAGTGGGTTATAGTTACATCGAATTCAGTAAGTTATGAATTTAGGGAGAAAAGTAAAACCAACTTGGAATTCATTTCAGTTAAACAGCACAGTATGACACCAACTCACCCTCATAGAATGGTCTGGATTGCAAGAGACCTTAAAGCCCATCCCATTCCACCCCCTGCCATGGCTGGGACATTCCAGTGTCCCAGGCTGCTCCAAGCCCCATCCAGCCTGACCTTGGACACTTCCAGGGATCCAGGGGCAGCCACAGCTGCTCTGGGCACCCTGTGCCAGGGCCTCACCACCCTCACAGGGAACAATTTCTTCCTAACACTTAAGCTCACCCTCAGTTCAGTCTGGCCAAGAAGAAGAGCTTTCCTTCATCTCCCCATTAAAGAAAAAAAGTCATAATGCTTTTACCTACTTACTCCCAATATTTTTAAAGAGGTTTTTGTAAAAGAGAGCTTGAAGCATGTTTGAAATCCTCTATTAAATAACTTTACAGAAATCACTCCCTGCACTTCTCAGGTGTTTTGACCAGATTTTCAAGGCATATAGTGGGAAAGCCAAATCACACACCTGGCAGAAGGAGCCTGCAGGAGAGCCTTCCTGCTCAGCTGCAACACCTACTAGAAATGCAGGAGAAGCTTCTGGTGCTTTCCCATGTTTTGGGCTCTGGGGCAACAGCCCATGATAGAACTTCACCCACGGTGAGGAAGCTAGGACCAGAAACGTGACCAGCAATTACCAGAGTAGCTTCACAGAGAAAAACAAGGGGCTTGTTGGAAAAATATCACATTTGCTCAGAACAATTGCCTGACTCAATGGCAAAACATCACTCATGAGAACACCTTCTGAAAGCTGTTTTTTAGCAGCCCTTCAGCTGCCATGGCAGATGATTTAGCACTCACAGTTGCAAACCCACAGTCCACCTTGCTGATTTTCTCTATGGACTCCACGGCGTCTCTCCCCAGCTCCAGGAGCGTGGGGTCTCTCGTGGCACGGTACAGATACATCGCACTCTCAATCAGCTCTGCAAAACACCCAAACATTTGCCAGCACAAGGATTATCAAACCATACACACAGCAAAGATGAGCTATTCCTTGAACTAATTTAAAAATACTTCAGCATAACCAGGTGAACAGCCTGGCTTGCCTGGCTCCAAGCACAGATTTTCCTTTCCCTAAGGATGTGCTACAAAGAAATTCCCTCTAACCAGCCTGCAGCAGCTCAGGTGAGAGTGACTAATGCTCCCTCCCACATTCACTGAGGGGGAGAGAAGAAGCAAGAGACAAAAAGATTAATACTCAGCTGTCAAAGTTAAAAAAATGCTTCTGGAAAGGATTACAGAAAAGACATTCAATCCTCAAAATACAGTTTTTAAACGATACAGTGGAAATACTCTATACAGACAACGTAAGTACCACAGTGTTTAATTATTAAAGGAACTGATCTTTATACTTTAACACCTTTGATAGTTAGGGCTGATGAGTATTTTTGGTAGATTTGTCCAGTGTGGATGTCACCTGAACACTCAGACCAAAAGGAATTTACTTATTCTCATTTACATTTATGGACACACTGATCAGGTTGATTTTTTTTTTTTTTTCTTTTGGTCAGAGTTGTAAAAAATGAGAAAAAAAGAGAGTTAATTTCCTTACAGTATCACAGACAACACAGAATCCTTCCTCGATGCAGAACTGGAACAGTCTATTCACACTCACTTTCACTTCCTCAATTTAAAGGACACAAGCAGTCCCTTTAACATTTCACATGGCCGAAGCACCCCATGCCAGACAATCTAACACTTAAACATGTCAAATTCCACACTGTGAACAAAATTCCTTACCAGGCCACCTTTCTATAGTAACACTATGGTTTCCTTCCTGTTTCCTTCCTGTCTTTGTGAGTGGGGAAAACAAAACATGCAGCTTTAACTCTGGAAATCCCTGCACAAATCCATGCAGGAACTGAGTCAGAGCAAAACTGGGGAGGAAACTGTGGTGTAACTAACATTTGATCTCCCAACCAGAGCTAAAGCAGGAGTTCATGTCCCTTTTAATTTCAGTTCTGTTTACCAGGTCTGAGTGGATATCCTTCCCTCTTGTCCACTGTGTATCCCTGGGGAATGTTGTAGAACTCAGGCAGGCCCCCAAACTGCTTCCAGACCGTGTAATAGTTGAGGAAGGTGCGCATGGCATTATCTACATCCCCAATGAGGCTCTGAGAGACAGGAAACAGCAAACAAACACGGGAGTGAAAAAAAACTAGCCCAGGAATTGATGCAATAACACTGCTATAGGTGAAGAAATATCCAGTGACAGAAATGGGTATTTCAGCAGCTCTGAGTGGTGTAACTGACACTGGGGCACGATGCCTAAAGAACAGGTAAGACTGAAAATGCTTTTCTGGTGGATCACATTCCCACACCTGAAATAATATGAAGACTGATTTTTTTTTTTAAAGAAGGCTCTGTTTCTTCAGTCAAATGTTTAGTCAATCACAGCATCCAGTCTCTTAGGAAAACAAAGTCTCAGTCCAAACATGAATACTGATGAGAAAAAATTCACACAAATAAAACATTTGTGAGGTGGTAGAAAATCAGGTGTGAGGTTCTTTTTCCTTGCATCCCTATTTACATTATGGGACCACTGTCAGTGGAGTTTGCTACAACAAAAGTTCCCTCCCATCATGCTGAATGGGAGACTGTAGATAAAATCAACATTTTCTTCAACATCATCTTCTATAGGCTCAGGCTACTGCAGATTTCACCAGAGATCAAATCAAACTTTTCAACCTGCACAGATGAGGGTTATATTTGTAATCTTTTTCCTGAAGACCAGCCCCTAACAGATGAACAGAATCACCAGATGCTGCTGCTATGACAGATCTTACCTGCAGGCCTGGCCAGTATGCCTCCAGGGACTGGAACACAGGCATGGACACTGTTCCTTTGTACATCTGAACCCACAGGTACCAGTCATCAAACTTGGTGTAATTTTTGATAGCTTTGTTATATTCTGTAAAGAAACAGATGGGTAGGTAAGCCATCTGTAACAACAACAACAAAAGAAAAAAAGAAAAAGGCTTATTTTTATGAATGAAAATTCTTATTTTTCACTTGAGCCATGTTCAATGACTTCTCAGGGTGCTCACTTTGGTAACTTTGTTATCACAGACTGTTCAAAAGTATCACAGCAAAGCCTTCAGTAGAGTCTTGAATGTGCCCCATTAGATCCTTCATCTCATCCTGCCACAGGTGCTGGGCCCCTTCCCACAGAAAACAAACACTCACCTAAAAACATGGACATCAGCTCCTTGTCCTGCAGGAGGATGGCTCCTTTAACCAGGTATTCAAAGTAGGAGTCCACTCCTGCCCCAATCCCAGCATCCTGGGCCACCCACTTGGCAGTGATCACATCAATGTGGTTCCCCACCTGGAAGGAGTGAAGGACAAGGAGAGCAGGGCTTAAAGTGACACAAGAAATCCTGCTCATTTTTTCAGACCATCAGTTCCACAGATAGGCAGTGTCCATTCCAACCAGTATTTTCTCCATTACAGGACACATTTATCTGCATTAGAGAAGCACAAACTGTAGAAAATACAACTTTTATGCTGGTAATGTATTTTATATATCTAATAAACATTTTAAGCTTCCAATATCAAAGCTTCACTGGCCAAAACAACACATTACAATGCTGCTGTAAAAATGCACAATTTCAACATGAAGTGTCTGGTCCTAATTCTGATCTTGCAAAAGTGTACAGAAGGATGGAGAGGTGCAGATACAGAGACAGAGGCCAAGAATGTCAAAGGCACAAGAGCTGCCATGTTAATATTTAAATAGATGCTGGCACTCTTCAGCCTGTGAACAAACCCAGCTGATGGAGAATACACAATCATGTCTTTCTTAGCAAACATGAAATAAAGCCAGCAATGATCAAGGATTTGGAGTATAAATCAAAAATAAACAAACCCCAAAGCAAACCAAGGGAAACATTTCTTCGTACAGCCTGTGAGTAATTTGTTGCCATAAACACAAGGCATAAATAAATCTGTTTTACTTCACATATGCAACATCAAGAGTTCACAGAGGTTATAAAAGCAGCAACAGGAAAGAGCAGGAGACAAGGAACATGGAGATAAAACTGCCAGCTCTGGCCATTCCTGAACACCAGAGCTGTACAGGCTGGTAATGTCTCAGTGCACTTGCCAGGCTCTTGCTCTCTTCCCTAGGCCTTTGTCCCACCAGGCATCAGACAGACCTTTAATTTAATCTGCTACAGCTGCTGTCACAAGAGCTGCAGCACCCAGCAGGAGGCATTTGTGTCCCAGCCACATCTGGTGTGGGCCAGAACAATGGGATAATGTTGGGTTGCTGCAGTAAAGCAGGGATGTGGATGCTGCAGGTGTTCAGGAACAATGTCAAACATGAGCCTTCAGCCCAGTCAGGAGCACCGTGGATATTTATCCAATTCTATCTCCTCTCTGTTGATGCTTTTTGATGCCTAGAATTGCATCCACAAGCTACACAAAAAGCAGCCCAGCACATTCCAAGTCCATTCCTCACTCACCAGCCCAATATCTGAGCGATTTTTCCACAGTGCCTTCAAAGCCTTCCTGGCAACATCCTCGAACACTGGGTCACCAGTGAGGTGGCTTAAGGTGGCAAACTCCACTATAAACGTGCCAATTCCAGCAGTACAGGTGACTGGGGTCTCCCCAGGGTTTACTCCATGCAGCAGGTTCACTGTACCATAGGGCATCCCAGTTGGGGTCTGAAAAGCTGAAGCACAGAATTTTGGGGTCACAGAAGTGCTCTGAGTTGTGTTTAACAGACTCTCCAGCAAACACGTGCCTCACATCCCACTGCACATGGCAGGAAGTGGGTCTGGAGTAACTGCAGAGAACAAAATGAGAAGTAGGGTGTGATCCTGGGAGAGTCAGAGAGGGTATCCCAAGGTATACACAGTCTTGAGGAGGTCCTGGGCATCTCTTCCACCTTGCCAGAGCAGCAGACTGCATTCCCACATTCTTTTACAGCACAAGCAAGGTGGTCACTAAACACACTGGCCAGCAAAGGGCAAACAGTGGGGCTGTGATCACTCCATGGGTACACACACGGGAACAGTGCCACACCACAAGGGCACACAACCCAGCTGCAGCCCATAAGGAGCACTTCTTGTCTTTATAAGCTGCTGCCTCAAAGCCTTTATTTATTGTTTATATTAAATACATTTCCCCTCAGTAAGCAACGAGCACACAGCACCTGGCATGAACACATACAACAACATCTTCCCTACAAACTAAACTTGGAGCACTGAGCTTGGAGCTCAGGGACCACAGGACTGGTTTTTGAGCTGGCTCATCCAGCAGTGCATCTCCCATCAGAGGCAGCAGCCAGCTCATGACCCCCAGCACAGTGACACACAGCAGACAGGGGCTCACCTGGCAGCAGTTTGCGAGCTGCTTCCTCAGCCATCCTCAGCAGAGGTCCTGAGCACGGCCAGCCTGCTTCCACTTCAACCCCAGCCTTTCTGGAGAGCAGGTGAGCAGAGAGGAGCCCTCCCACCACTGCAAGGACACATCAGAATCCATTACACCATGTGGGGAGGAATGACTCTAATTCAAATCGACAAAAGAAGAGTGATCTGTTTCTTGTTGCTTGTTTGCAGGGCAGCAGAAACGTGTGGAGTGACAGGACAAGGGGTGATGGCTTCAGTTTGAGAGGGCAGGGTTAGATGGGATATTGGTACGAAATTCTTACCTCCAGGTGAGCACAGGGTGCTCAGAGAAGCTCTGGCTGCCCCTGGATCCTTGGAAGTGCCCAAGGCCAGGTTGGACAGGGCTTGGAGCAACCTGGGATACTGGAAGGTGTCCCTGCCCATGTCAGGGGTGGAATGGATGATCTTTAAGGTCCTTTCCCCCTAAACCACTCTCAGATTCTATGGTATGTTTCTTTTTTCTAGGAAGAGTCAAGAATTTCCGTGTGACACCAGCTGTGAGTAATTAGCTGTATTTAGCTACTGCTTATATAGCTAATACAGCTATATTAGCTAATATTAGTTATTTCACAGGCTTGTCTATTGTCACATAACAACCACAGAGAAATTACACTGCTACAGAAATTGGCACAGCAGTAGTTGGCAGGACAAACAACAAAAGCATAACTAACAATTTTGTGCCTTGACAGTGTCTTTTAGCTGGGTGGCACTGAAGCAGTCAGGCATTCAGGGAGTAGGACTCCAAAAGTCTTTGTGATTTTGAAGAAAAAAACAGAATAATCCTAAAAATTGAGGATCTCTACTCCAAAGGAGTATACAAAAGACGATAGGATAAACTCTGGATGCTTTCAGAAAAAAATATATTTATTCCAAAGCTGAAAACCTCACACCAGAATACTGAAAGTGCCACATCTACTTCTGCTTGTGTTTAGACAGGAAGCAAAAAGGGGTGTGCAAAGACTGAAAGGAAGTGATGTTTGTTTGGGGTTTTCTCTCTGTTTATGCGTCCTCTTACTCTGCATTCCAAACCCTCTCTGACCACCTCCTCACCTCTGAGACTTGTACAGGAAGGAAACCCAACACAAACCCCACCTCACCTCGAATGTTTGTCTCAAAGACAGATGCGTTGACATCAATATCGAAGTCCACCCCCTCCTGCAGCACGTTGACAACTCGCTGGAACTCGGAAACATTTCCCAAGATCTGCAGAGAGAATCAGGCTTAGAGTTCATGGAAAAACAAAGAGCAGTTCAATATCTGGGGCTGATTTTAATTTGGTTTTGCTATTGAAATCATTAACTACAGATATTACTAAAAAACCGACTGACAGTTTCATGATTTTTTCACACACACTTTAGGTCTTTACTCCAGAGGGTGTCAGGAAAGGGACAACCCTTCCAAGGCGTGATGCAAAGAGAACTGGAAAGTTCTCAGGTCAATGAATAACTGATTTTTGGCACCAGCACATAAAATCCAGGTGTACAGGTGGCACACAGGGGCCTTGAGCAGGCTGTGGGCACTCAGGGCTGGCTCCTACTCACCAGTAGGGTGTCCAGGGCGTCGATCAGGGTCAGGGAGAAGCTGCGGAGGAGACAATCGAGGTGAGACCCGGCGGAGGGGGGCGGCCCATCCCCATCCCCGCTCTGGGACCAGCCCTTACCTGCCCCAGGTGTCCTGGCCGTCGCACGTCAGCGGCCGCAGCTCGTCGTACGGGAAGGCGCTCTCCAGGTAGTGCTCGTAGGCGTGGTAGAACATGGCACGCACCCGCTCCCTGCGGCACAAGCACGGCGTGCTCAGCCCCGGCCCGGCTGGGCCCCGCACCGCCCGCTCCGTACTCAC